TGCACAAAGTACCCTCCAAAGTCTTCGGAAGGTGTAATACAATTTTCAGCCCTTTCTCCAGACTTAAGCCTCATCTCCCTGTCTCTAAAACCATGGGCGAAACAGTATGTACTTGCCCATATCTAGACCCCAGCTATCTGCTACACAGTGGTGTCAATGGCTATAAACAAAGTATCCGAAAGTGTCTATTCATCAATTCAGAAATTTGCTGTACCATATGGCAGCCCCAAACATTGAGTGGCCCCTGAATTTATATTAGCATTGATTTTTAAACTAGAAAAAATTTTGGCTTATGATCTCTGCTATTACAAGTTTTTTTTACAGAGGCATGAGGAAATTTACAACCACTTACAGAATTAACTATGATAAAAACAAGTTGAAAGAAGCAATAATAAAGGAAACTACAGCTGAATGCATTTCAAAGATTGAGAAGACACTATGGGAATCAGATGTTTTATGACTGCTGGTTTAAGAGCAGTCAAGTTCATCACCTCCTCCACACTAACCAAAGCAGGGAGTAGCCTACTGCTATGTACAGCAGTAAATTCAGTGTGAATAGTACAAGCCCACATACATTCACTATACTTACCAGAAAAACCTGAAACAATGAAGTACAATGTACAATATACGTACAAAAAAACCCACAGGTAAGTTGTTCCTCCTCTTATGCTGTATTCTTTCTAGTTGTACAACTTCGGCATTACAACAGATTTTAACATCAAGAAATAGCATTACCAACATGATACTCTGACTTCTACATATTCTGAAGAGGTATGATGAGACCACATGCTGAATCCCTTATTTTTGTAACCTGGCACAATGGAGTTCATACAGACACATTAAGGTAAAGGAGCAGAATATCTAAAGAAAACGTAAAACTTGAAGCATAGCTAAATATTCCAAAAGTTGAAGCAATTGAGAGGGGCAAGCAGATCCACACCTGCCTGCCCGTTAAGTTCTTCTTTAATACATATATTTATAATCCGTAGCCATACAGCAGTAAACATAACTGGAGGTCACTGCATAGTTCTTCACTAACACTGCTCAAACCAAGCTAAGATGCAAGAATAAGTCGGTGGTAATCAGATCACACTTTACAGATTCCCAAAATAAGAGACCTGCGCTTTACAGTATCCTACACACAACTTCACATTAGGTTTTCTTTATTTAACTTATTATCTCTACAGGAAATCCTTTAATCGCAGAGGACAACAGGATTTTCTGTGAACCAAGAGGTTGGTTCAGTATGATGAAAGGTTTTTTTAACCTTGTTTAAAGCCTGATTGAGAGCACAGTTGTCACAAACTCATGTCTACTCAGGAGAGGACCACATTGGTCACTGAGGTTTCTTTTGATCACCTTCCACATCTCCTGCTATCTTTTGATCAGATCAGTTCACTTTCACAGAGGAAAATAAATTCCTGAGTCGTCTTGCATTCAAGATGACCTGCTACTTACACATCCAAACGAACCAATCCTGTTCTCAAAAATGCTCACTGAACAGATACCTACTAAGGAAAAATGGACACTCCTCCAGCTACTGACAATAGCTTGTTTTTGCAAGTGTGGCCACTTAAGAGCAGGTTATCAATTCTGAAGTGAACAGTCATTCCACCTACTAGCTTCTCTGCCAAATTACTACAGTTTTTCACAGAAAATTAAATTACCTTGTTAATACACTGCCATTTAGCAGCAATTACTCAGCATTTTCATGTTACATAACAGAATGCCTTAAGAGACCCGATATTCTTTAAGAACTGTCTCTCCTACAAATTGAAATCACATTTTAGAACTCCTATGATTTTAAATTTCAAGCCACATTGAGAAATACAAGCCTAACATTCTAATTCTTGAACTTGTGTTCACTGAAACGGCTTTTTCCTGGTATCTACAGAGGTTTAGTAATTGTTTACTACCAAAGAAAGCTTATCCATCGCTAAAGTTTAATTTTAGACATTTATTACTGCTCCAACAGTAGATTCACCATATCTCATTGTTGCAGCTTATTTTGAATGAACACTGACATTACTGTTGATTTATTTTTAGTACCTTTAAAATTGTTTCTCACTTCAGTGACCTCATGTTTGCACCTTCTCCTGCTCACTCAACACAATTCTTCCAAGTACGTCATTTGAGAACATATCCTTGTTTGCTCTTTCTTCTCCAGTTACTAGTTATCATGTCCTTTCACTCACAATCACTCAATTCATATTAAAAGCATGATAGCTATTAATATTCCTAACTTCCTTGCTAAAATTGATAGCTGTGACTGGATGGAATGCTAAAGGCTCAAATACATACTTCTTTTCAGCTAAACACATAGAAAAATTGTCATTTGAAAGGTTAACATAAACAAGCATGAAGTGTTATCCCAATTCCTCCACTTCCATAGCAACAGAGAAATATTGGGGAAATCACTGTATAACAGTAGACTGAAGAAAAGAAGATGGGTACATTTGAAGTATCTTTTCCCTACCCTGGCAGAAAGCTCCAGAAATTACATTAAAATAGCAGGTACATTAATGGATTTACCAGGGTGCAAGTTATCAAAAAAACTTAGAAAGAGTAAGCATAAAACAATAAGCATTGACATGAGATGTCAAAAATATTTATTTTTCTTCTGTACTTGCTCAAATGTTACTAACAGCTCAGCACTGATGGTGGTCTCCTTGAGGATGCAGGTAAACATTTAGAGAGCACAAATTTGCATTTATGCATTTTTCCAACTTAAATTTAGTACATAAGAGTTCTCTGTCACGCAGGGACTGGAGTACGTCTGATATGAGGACAGGCTGAGGGTGCTCGTATTGTTTAATCTGGAGAAGAGAAGGGCTAGGGGCAGGCAATCTTATTAATGTGTATAAATATGTAATGGGAAGAAATAAAGACTGAGCTAGACTATTCTCAGTGCTACCCAGTGGAAGGACAAGAAGCAACGAGCACAAACGGAAACACAGGAAACTCCATTTAAACAGAACCTTTTTTTCCCCGTAAGAGTAGTCAAACACTAGCACAGGTTGCCTATAGAAGTTGTAGAGTCTGCATCCTTGGAAATAATAAAAACCAGCAAGGACACAGTCCTGAGCAGCTTGCTCTGACTGACCCTCCATTGAGCAGGTCAAATAGATAATCTCCACTGCCTCTGGAGTGAGCTAGATTAACAGCTGAGACGATGCTCCACAGATCAGTATTGATCAAATCTTCTACTGAACAGAAAAAAATTATCATCTATTTGGTAACCTCATGCAGTGACAACAATAGTGTCATAACTGAGAGTGGCATAAAACTGGCAACTACACAGCTGTTACTGTATCTATACAACAGAACAAAAATGTTGCAAAGGAAGCAGCAAGTGGGATCTTCCCAGCAGAATCAACCACAGATGGAATATAATGCTTAAATAGGTAGTAGAGGGACAATCAGCTGGCTAGCCTCCTGTTTTAAGGAGGAAGGCCTCACCTCAGCCAGGCAAACACTGCATCATTTTTTATCCAGTTTCTCTGTAGCTAACACTCGGACTGCATCACCCAGAGGCAGGGTCAACTAGACCAACTGTCCAGCAAGGAGGGGCAACTCAAAACCACATGCAATAAGCTCTAGGAAGAAAATGCTCCTGGATTCAGGGTGAGGAATGCAATACCACCATTCCTAACTACCTCCAATTTATAAGTGGGGATCTGCAGCAGTGGACTCTGTGAGGAGAGGCCCAGGCTGCTCTGTGCTGGACACAGCCAGCTCCAACAGACTCACTTCAGGACACAGCTGAGCCCTTCAGCCAAGATAGTGGCACCTCTGGGAAGGATAAAAAACACTGCACAGCAGCTGTGAGAGGACTGAGAAAAGCATGAGAGAAACAGCCTTGCACACACCAAGGCCAGTGGAGGAGGAGGTGCTCCAAGTGCCAGAGCAGAGATTCTCCTGCAGCCTGTGAAGACCACCACAGTGCAGCAAATATCCACACTGCAGCCTGCGGAGGACCCCATGCAGGTGGACATGCCCTGGATGAAGCCGCAGCCCATCAAGAGGAGTCCACACAGCAGCAGGCTCCTGGCAGGAGCTGCAGCTGCCCCTGGGGGACCTACGCTGGAGCAGTCTGTTCCTGCAGGACTGTTGTCTATGTTCTTGAAAGGCTGTATCCCATGGGAAGGACCTACGCAGGAGCAGGGGAACAGCGTGGCGATGAAAGAGCAGCAGAGAAGAGCAGTTACAGACTGACCATAACTCCCATCACTACAGAGAGGACCCATGCTTTTCTTCGAAAGTCAGATTTAAAAAGCAGCACCTCTGGCTCTACTACACCATTTTTGCAAGGGTATGTTTCTCTTTAGAGCTTCTAAGCATGCTCATTCTGTATTGATAACACTTTGGAAACAACATGCTTAGGATGGAGATACAGGAAGACCAAACATATCACAAAGCTTTTGGTTTAAAGATGTACAGATTTTAAAATAAATGCATGAGGAAAAGGCTTCACCAGAATACACCAGAGAAACTAAATCAAATAAGATTAGAGTATTACATAATGTGCTCTGTAAGTATATTACCAGAATGCATTCAGGTCAAGAAGGTCCAAGCTAGCCTCAGCTTGCATTTTAAGAACTGGCTATACTATAATTTGACTTGCTTGTTTCTTTTCCAAGGCTTCCAGAAAACCTTTAAAATCTGAATACAATTAAAATAGCATTCTGCCATCGAGAAAGTAAGTGTGCGGGTGTTTGTGTACCCTCAGGTCTAGGAGCTCTCAGAGGAAACTCCAGCTTCTAACAGAAGGTTAGCGACGCTAGAAATCCTCTCGCATCATAAATAATAGCATGACATTATACAGGAAATCATTGCTACTCAGTGCATTTGTATCTGTGTTCTCAGAACACGGAGCTAATTAAAATAGCAGTCACAACAAGTGGATCTATTGAGACACTAATCCACCTTGACTAAGCTGAAAGACAAATGCACAGAGCAGCACAAACTGTTGAGAAACAGAACATCAGAAGCAGACTTACCTAAATTTAAGAAATCTGAGCTGGAAGAAGGTGGAAGTGAACTGTGTGTGGAAGGAACTGTACTAGCTGTAGATGTTGTGCTTGGGTTAAGGAAGTCCCCAAAGAGATCTGGACCAGACAGGGCTTGATTCTCTGAACTTGATGACATTGTGAATGGGTCAAAAGGATCAGCTAAAAAAAGCAGAAAACAACATTATCTTATGACAATATTTTTTGAATAAACAAAATTGAAAAAGCCTTACTCCTCTGGGGGCATAGACAAAAAGTTGAGTTTATGTTGGTAAATGCAGCAGCATTCTGAGAATTTTTCACGGTAGAGTCACCATCTGTCCCTTCCTCTTCCCCTCCCTTCTGTACTTTCATGTTGGTACAACAAGTACTTCAGTCATACACAATAGGAACAGCTTCAAACACAAATCCTTAGCAAGGCTGCACACATTCAATAACATTGTTAATTTCATCCATGTAAGACACACCTTAAATTTGAGTGATCATCTGCATACAAACAGAAGAATTACATTTGTTAAATGCTCTATAATGCCAAACATCCAAAGAATTTAAGCAAAACAGACTACTAAACTACTAAAAAGAATATCAAGTAACACATTCATACTACCACTTTGACTTGAAGGCATTGGTGACTCTGGGGCAGAAAACACAGCAACTCAAGAATGAGAACCAACAGAAGCAAGGCTTTCAACAGGTCTCTAGTGATCACAATGAAGAAAAAACGAATTGGAAGAGTATTTATAGTCAGCATGGGGTAACATGTGACAGTCAGCTGGAATCACGGCTTGAGATCTTCCCACTTCTGCCCTCTAGGGTTAAAGTCCTCAAAAGCCCAGGGACTCCTGCCAGATTCACTCAGGAGCTGAAGAGAAGTAATAATCCTGCCACAGTGCCCTAGCACATCCTGAGGTGATGACCACATTATACAGGACTCAGTAACACTTCAAAAAACAAACCCTGGATTGTCATCAAGCTATCTTACCATGGCATCACACGTACACAAAACCTCAAGTATAAGTTTGATGTGCAAACTTAAATACAACAGTGGCCAAATATTCTCACTTCTGCGATTATCCTTCTCTTATCCAATTCAAAGGTAGAATGAGATACATGCATGACTACTGCCCAGGTGTTTCTTGGAGCAGATGTAAGAAAGACATAGTTAAAGAAAGATAAGGTAATAAAGCTTCTCTTTTACAGACTTCTACCTTTGTAAAAAGGTAAATTAAGTGATTCCTCATTGTCCACAGTAACAAAGTTCAATACTGAATTGCTTCAAAAGAAAGAAATATTTGAAATCACCTAAATGCTCTACAAAAACACTTTGCAGGTGTATGTAGATTAAAGCTTTCAGTCCAAATGAATTTTTAGTCCAAATTAATTATCTTTGTGCAAAAAAGCTATACCTTGTAACAGTTTCCCAGATTGACTAACATTCCCAAAAATCTTACCGTTAGCTTCAGGCAGAGAATCGCTATTCCCAAAAGTTTAGTCATCTGAAAAAGAGCTAACTACCCATTGGTAAGAGGAACAGAACCTCTAAACTCAAACACCCTGGTTTAAGTACCAAATAGACAGCAGTGTGTAACATTCAGGATACAGACCTGCCAACATGGGTAAAACCAGCAAGGAAACATCTTTTAGCAGTACCATTATCTTACTGGTTTGAATAGTAATCTACAGGACTTCCAGTTGCCTAAAGGTCTTACGTGAGTAACACTCAAAAATCCCACACAGGCATTTGACCTAAGCAGCACAGCTCTGCACCACATCTAATGACACTTAAAGTGCAAGAAAGCAGTAAGTTACTACAATTCCACGCCTAAGTAAGAAGTTATTTACACGTGGATTTAGAAAAGGACCTAGCATGTAACATTTGTATGGGAAGGCTATGTATTCTTTAAGAACACCAAATCTCCTTTAAATTCAAACTTTGATACTTTTATGTCTACATAGTTTAAAGCTAATAAGATATTGACAACATAACAACGTAACAAAATACCTGGATAACATGCAGCAATTTCTCTCCTTCATGCACTAAACCCACCTATTCTATGCAGATTCTTGCTATAGACCAAGCTGTCCTCACTGTACCAATCAAAACATGGTACTCATTTTCTAAGCACAATGCAAGCAGTAGTTTTTATCTGTTGGCCAGCTGAACAGTACTGATGTTAAATTTACGTACCTGAAGACATGGCTCCGGCTGAAGACAAACCATGAGTAGCAGCTGGACACTGAGTGCTGAAAAAGAAATCTGTTCCTTGTCCAAGAAGATCTCCAGTGGACTCTTCTGAAATCTGCGATGCATTACCCACGAAGAGATTGTTCAACAAGTCCGCATTACTTGATGAAGAGTTTATTTCTGAGTTAGGTTGTTTCTGTTCTGGTGAAGTATCAGAGTCTAGTCCCAGCAAGTCTACATTCTCTTCAGGAAGATATTTTTGTAACAGTGCAGATGGAGCATCAAAATTGGCTTCAAAAAGCAACTCTCCTTCTGGAGTAACAGAGTCTTTTTCATCAACAATTACCGCACTTTCTTCACCTGGAAATGTAGGGAATTCTTCATCTGAAGCATCACTCTCCTCCCTGTCACCAGCGAGCTGAACATGATCATTTTTAGATGAACTGTCCTCTATTCCACTTTCCGGACTTTTTCCTTCTTGAATAAAAGGAAACATCAGCTTTAGATTACCAGGATTCTTCTGCCAACTAGGATAAGACAGACTTACATGACGAGATCATATGCAATCAAATCTCAATCAAAGGTCACAAAAGAACTGATGAAAAAAGAACTAACATTGCCTACCACCTTTTTGTACAGAGTAGGCAAAAGGGCAGCTCACTACCATACTTGCCACTCTGTTAAGGGCAGGTATTATGATTTTTTTCAAAATGAGATTGACTTAGACATTCACCTCAGTTCATCATACCACTTAGGGCTTAGAAGATCCCTTGGCAACCGCTGCTCCACGCAACTGCATTCAGTGACAGCATAAGCAGTTACTGAAATTTTTGCCAGCAAAGCAGAACCCAGAAAAAGGACTTACACATGCGCTATAAAGTTACATGTTCTCAGTCCATACATACTGATCTGGACCCCACTGGTTAGCCTACTGTTTCCTCTGTTCCTCAGCCAGCCTAAGTATGTTCCCTGCAGACCTTCAAGGTTAAGATTTTTGCAGAAAAATAAAAATTTAGCCCAGCACAATACCAAAATATCATTACTTGGTGTTTATCCGAATGAAGCAGAATGACCACTTGTCAACCTGCAGAGCTCACTCTTTACAGAAAACTTTTTCATGGTCTGGTGAAATAGTGACTTTTGCTGCTAAGAAGGCTTAAATACTCATTGGAAGGTGTATAAGACAACAAACATAAAACAAATCGTTACTTCAGAGGAAAACCTATACCTTTCCAGTCCAGAGAATGAAAGAAGTTATTTGCATCAGTACTACTGCTGTGTGGGGATTCTGTATCAGTAGGTGCACTTTCTGAAGACTGCTCCAGCTGGGATGCTTCTGCTTCATATTGTGCAGTTGAACCTGGTTGTCTAGGCAGCTCCGGTTTCCCTATAAAAATGATTTTAAGCCAGAACTCAGAGGGAAACTTTAAAATCTCAATCCCGGTCACAGCAGCTGGTATTTGACTTGCAGACTGACTGCTATAGCAAGACAACTGTCTCAAGGTACCCATCATTCTGCAAAGGCAAATTCCCACCCTCATTTGAAATGAGCATTATTAACTTCATTTCAACTGCAAAAGCTGGTTAGACCCTATTTCCATTAAATTAAATTAAACATTAAATTAAATAAGACTCATAGCAAAACACTCAAACATTCTATTTACATTTGTAGGAAAATGTAATTCACACCTCACTCTACCAGTCATCCCTGAAAATACCCAAGAGCTATGAACAACATCTGCAATAAGGAACTGAACATCAGAAAGGAGCAAATGCAGCTACAGAAAAAATCCAGAGTATAAAGCCAGAGTAGAACATGGAGCTGTTAAACTTCTTAAAGGAGTTAAGTAATACATTGCGTGCTGCCATTAACTACTCCTTACATTTCTTATTTTACTGAGATCAGATATTAAATGACTCTTGTGTAAGACTGAGTTGGGCTGAGTTGCCTACTGCTATATCATCTCTCAAAAAAGAGGTTTACTCAAGACAAATAAGACGACTCCCTAAATTAGTAAGTCTTCATCCACTGTTTGAAAAGAATTGGATGAATGCGTGGGAGAAAGCTATTTATTTAATCTAAATACCTAACTGGTAGAGGATTTTTTCACCCTCTTTCCACATACTCAGTTGTAGCATACAGAGATGCTGAAAAAATATTATGTCTTGGAAAACATATGTGAAAGATCATGATTAATGAAATACTGCAAATTCAATTTTAATAAGGCAAGTTTTATAAAACCAGTTCACACCACTTGCTCTTGTCCTATTCCCTTCCCACCACTTTTAAGAAATATTTTCAATGGAATTTGAAGCCCTTACATTTTATTTATCAATCAGAAAACAAAAGTGACTTAAACAAGAGTAATTTTTACAGATCATCATTATCAATGAAACGTCTTAACTTTAGTGAGCTGAGAGTTGTATTCACAGTTAAATAGAAAATTACCTAAACTGTAATACAAACCAAACATGTCCTGCTAAAAAAAAAAAAAACACAAGATAGCAGCAACTACCTTGTACAAAAAAAATGTAATTAAGATGTACCATATTAAGAGCAGAGAGTAAGATCTTGTGTATGGTGTACTACAATCACCACAATAATGACCATCATGTTTTTTATTCTGGAAGCACAGAGAAGGCTTAAGAGCCTTAATGAAAATGTAAAAGCTAATTACTGATACACCAGGAGAAGAAGAAAGATACTGAACAGGAGGCATCTACACATGAAGCACAGAATATATAGTATTAAAAAAATTAAACATCTGCTGGATCACATCAGGAAAAGTTCAGAAATTGAATTACAGCATTACTTGGCTATACATAAGAAGGACCATTTGTGAGGAATGCTCAGATGATTTAAAGTGAAATTATAATGGTGCCAGTTTAGGGAAATATAGTTCTTTCAATTCCATTTGCTAAAATCCCTGCAAATAGCATATTCATAGCTTTAAAGCAAGCAAACATAATGACAGTGGAGGTAAGACAAGGATAATTATAATCCATTATTGAAGGATAAATTATACTCCTTCACACAACGCAATTTTTTAAGTGATATTTATAGAAAAACACCTTTTAAATTTCTTTCACTGAAAGGAAAGTCAAAAATGAAACAAAAGCTTCAAACACTAAGTAAATAGAAACTTTATCACGTTCTCTAGTTTTTCAAGAGATTCATTACCAAATTTTGATAAAATTTCTTGTTGTTCCTCTCGGGTGGAGAAAAGGATCTTGGGATTCAGCCCCTTTATATTCATGCTATCCCATGGTGGCTGTTCACAGCTAGGTCTGTCTCTGGGCTCCACCTCTACTTCCAGATTGACTTGAAATAAATCAGGATATTTTTCCTGTATGTCACAGGCATCCAGATCATACCTGCAAAGATGCATACAAGTAGATTCTTGATACTGATGGCTAACTAGATTAAATTCACTGCAGTTCAAGACAAAACTTTAAAGCAATTAGTATAAGGCTTAAAACATGCTGTATTTGTTTACTTTTCCCATGTATCTTAAACAGGCGGTATTTTGGTACAGAATTTTTTCTTATATCATGAACAAAACCTCAAGTTTTCTTGAGGTGAGAAAACAAAATAATCTTATTGCAATTAAATTAATCTACTTCCTACACTGACTGTATTTCCTCCCCCCACCATATGTTGGTTAAACAGTTTCAAAGAAAACTTCTTCCAATCTCCGACAAAGAAGTGTCAACATACTTGGCAAATTTCACTGTGGTGGCATTTCGGGGCACAAAACCAGTGTGGAACTGAATCTGAAACATCTTCATTGAAGCCATCTGTTGAAAATAAGAAACACAGGTAAACTGCATAAATCCACATGAACAGTATGCACTGTGCTCTGCCTTTAATAGAATGCAAAGCATTTTCAGTATTATAATATTTTAAAGTGTTTGTTTTGCTACCATTTCAGTTTAATTCCATGTATACTTTATCTTGAGAGAACATTGATAAATCTATTACTGCCAGAAACAAAACAAAAGACCTTGAACCAGATATATCAAATCACTAATCTCAGACTATCAAAGTCTGTTCATTATTTCCAGATCCTGTTCTAGAGGCTGAAACTGCATGAGCTTTATTACTTTTCTGAATAACACTCAAAAACTCGCTGTGCAATAAACTTATCAAGAAATGTATGGCATATATATAAGGACTCCATTCAGAACAGTTTTAAATGTAGCACATTTAAAAGGACACTTCATAAGACACGCAGTGTTCTTCTTCCTGTGCAACTTAAGTCAACCATTCACCCCAGATAGAATTATAGGGCTTTTCCAAACCAATTCATTAAAACCATTCAACTTCCCCAACTCTTTCTTCTGCTGACTGAAAAACTACTTTCCTATGAATGATCACCATGTGAGAGTCCAGAAAATGCTACTGTAGAAGATTCGTGTAGCTCCTGGTCTTGCACAAATCCAAATTACAGCAAACTGGTAAGTCCAAAATGTATCTGCTCCCTGGCTTTAGTTACAACACATATGGAATAGTCTTGCCAGTCCTTACACAGTCATACAGTTATAGTCCAGTAAATACGATATAATAAAATTGAATTATGAAAGCTTTCCTTGTAAATGAGCATTTATTGAATATCATAAACAGAAGTCAAGTAGCAGGCAAAGCACTGCCAGCAGGTTGAGGGAGGTGATCTTTCCCCTCTACCCAGCACGGTGAGGCCACATCTGAAGAGGGAGGTGATCTTTCCCCTTTACCCAGCACGGTGAGGCCACATCTGAAGCCCTGTGTCTAGGGCTGGGCTCCTCAGTACAAGACAGACATGGACATAATTGGAGAGAGTTTCTCCGATCCATCCATCCCTACCCTGAACTACATATGAAAACCTGATCACCCTATTAAATCAGTTTTCTTAATCCCTTGCTTTGCAAGATGTTTCCTACAAGGTAAACTAAATCCTCTTTCAAATCAACTGTGAGGAAGTAGGAGACATTCACAATGCCCAGCTTTAGGCACTTACAACAATATTGAAATGTGGTGGTCCATCTCCATGAGTTCTGCAGAGAGCTTCAGTGGGCAACTTAGAGTACATAAAACTGAGGACAAATTGAATATTGTTCCCTCAAAGCTCCAAACCAGGGTCATCACAAACACTGTTAATGTATCATGTCTTACAGCAGATGGATGAGAAAATTCTAATCTTTCCCAATCAGAGAAACCACATCAAAGAAACCCTATCATCAGTGAAACTGAGATTGCACAAGGAGTATAAGCTAACTTCAGCTGAATTTTCTGCAGTTGTATGCCTTCTTCACTGATGACCTTTAACCATACAGTAGCTATTTTTGTGTGATAGAGAATCATTTCACTGAGCTTTCAGGTTTAGGGTGTTCTGGAAAATATGGACCATGGCACTCTGGGGACACCCAGAGTTGTTTTCCTTTGGTTGCAGTTCGTATGTACAGAATTAAAAAGTTCTGGTTTCTTGTGCAACTTCACAGACAACAATCACTGCCTCAAAAAACTGGCTAGAGGCTTCCATGCAAATATGACAACTATCAATACTGAAGTAATTTCCAGAAATGCTTACCAAAGCATCTTCACGCAGAGCACTAATAATGGACATACTTAACTAGGTTTGCAAAGGTTGAATTCTCAAGTACATGAAAATCTCACACATTTCTTTAAACAAAGAATAGCAAATGAAACCATGTACTTAATGAGAACACAAATACAAGTATGACGCAAAACTGCAACAAGAAAAAGCAAACCCTCCACATAGGTTGTTAAATTTATCATTACCTTGGCTTGTAGTCGGCCTCCTAGTGTTGACCTAGCATGATAGATCACAATGAGAACATCTCCCTGGACTGTTATACCTAGTGGAATTACTGCTTTCCCATCTTCAATTTTAAACTCCCTGAAGAAAAAACATAATCGTTAATTTTGTTTAAAAAATGTTTAGTTTGGTATGTCCAAGGCCTTCAATATCAACCCATAAAAGTCTACTTCAAGTTCTTATTACAGAGAAGGAATTCACTCCAAATGATTAAAATTTAAAAGCTACCTTAAAAATAACAAGATTAACAGTTGCCTACAGCAGAGCAACAGATATATTTGACCCATAGTTCTCAAATCAACTATGGGAGAAACGTATCTTCAAGAAGCTGCCAGGGAATGCAAGAGACAAGATATTATGAAGAAAGCTGTTCCAAAGAAAGGTGCAGAGAGAAACTGTAGCTGCACTTCTGTGATATGTTAGGACTCCCACTGAGGGACAGTGGTAGAGAAAGACAGGGGAAAATGTTATTACAACATCCCACACCTGTTTCTGTTCCTGCTCTCTTCAAATTCATTAAACTCTTTATGGGGCATGGATTTATAGGAAAGCTAGAAAGACTTTGGTATTCTCTCATCTTTCCTCTGTCTGTAACTATCTACACCTAGTACTGCTAGTATCACCTGCAATTCCTGTGTTGTATTAAAACAGCAGACACCAGATCTGTACAGGGGATAATAAGCACTCCCCTTACAGCTACAGCGTCTGAGGGATCCTTACTGTTTCTGTGACTGAGACATGATGTTCAGTTCAGTATGTGTACTCCAGGGATCAGTCTTCCTAGTTCACACCACATGGAGCGAGAGGAAAGAGGGCCTTGCTCACCTCTGCCTGCCCACTATGCTACCCACCATCATTCCCACTTTCTGCAGAAACAGATCCAAGCTATTATAACCATGCTGTCTCTTCCCCATGATTTACCTTTCAAGATCAGCCAAAAAGGGGACAGAGGAGCTGTTCCATACGTTACAGAAGCTTTCTGCTCAACTGGCACATACAAAATGATACTTTCTCCTCACAGTAGGGACTTTGTATTTAAGTTAGTCTAGAAAAACATAATGTGCTGTTTCAGGGCAAATCATAACCTGTACTTACTTCATTTTATCATATTCCTGGGAGGTAGTGGTTACTCTCTCATCTCCCACATAAACTTCACAAAAAGGTCTGCAGCCATTACGCTGCTTACTGAAAAGAGGAACTGGAGTCATGACGATTGATCTGACAAGGATGGGCTTGCTGTGAGGAATAATGGGTTCTTCAGCCATCATGTCACACATGTATTCAATGTATCTGCCAAAACCAAATGGTACTCATTTAGCCAGAGAATCAAATTCTAAAAATGAGTGAACACATAGATGAGTTACTTCTGTTCATATCTAGCCACTGAGCAGTGACAAATGATAACAGTAAAACACTACAAACACTCAACAGCACTTCCAGCAAAAGGATTTTCAAATCTGATAGAATTTCACAAGAGGAAGATGAAACAGAAACATGGAGAAATATTTATGATCCCTAACCAGCCTCTCAATTTAAAGACAGCAACACAGCTTCTGTACAAAAGCCTGACAGCTGCATCACAACAGAAATACATACTGCCCAGAAAACTGAATACAGCACTGCATATGAACTCATCTGCACCTCTGTCCCACCTTTCAGACAACTCCAGACATTGCCTTAGGTCTGTAGCTTTACATATATTCACTTGTAAAACAAATTAGCTGCTCTTTCTAAGGCCTTAAAACACCGAACTAGGAGAACTATTTATTTTGTATCTTACACATAACAGATCAAAGTTGCACAGCAGTTCTGAAGCTAGTAACTCAAGGCTTCCTAAAAGCTTTAAATTTACCCTTACTAATATAAGTTATCTTGTGGAGGACTTGTTAAATATACTCAAAAGTAAACCTGTACAACAGCATAATCTGTCATTTACATGTAACTAATCCTTACTTCTCACCTTTCTAAATCTAATCCTTTTTGTAGGAAACACCCTTACTACCATTGTCATTTGCTACTGAGACTCTATTGCCATAAGATCTATCTTAAATCAAATAATTAGTTTAAAACATTTGTCAAAGCATATGAAAGTCACCTCTGCATGCACTTCTTTAAAAAGCAGAATGCATTCTTACTTAAACAGAAAAGATCGACAGAAATCATTATTGGTGTTTCTGTAGAACTTAGTGTTCTGACACACTAAAACCTATTGTAATAAACTAGCAAACACGGAATAAGTCTTACACACCATGAAGAGGATTTTACACCTAGGAGAGCATTCAAAAGCACTGCATACCCTCGTTTTCATTCCTAACATTTCTTCACTACAGGTCATACTTGATTCACCTTTGATGAGAACATCATGAGTAACTTAAGGGCTCAAAAAATTCAGAACTACTTTCTCTACCCATGATACACCTGTTTTTCCAAGTATTTTGCTATTCAAACACAGACACTACTGAAATAATTTATCTTCCTAAGCAGCATCCTGTAAAAATAGTAGCATATTCACAACTGCATAACTACTTGCTTCAACAGTACTCTACAGACTGATACCATACCTTTTATGAGAAGGCCAAATGCCAGGAGGACAGCGTTTCATACTGAACATATAAACTGCAGCTTCAGCAGTAGTGAAGAGACGACAGAAACACAGAAAAGAACAAACTACAACAGCAGACGCTGCTCTTCCATCCTACAAAAAAAAATTGTAACTTTGTTATTAAACCTAGGGGAAAAAGCATTACAGAAGTTACTGAAGAGAACACTATCTCCTTATTTAATATAATGAAGTCCAAGGTCTAGTGCAATCATTGGATTTGAAGTTTGTACGTGGATTCAAAATGTTTTCATTTTATTTCCACACAGTACAAAAGATAATACAGATCTACTTGCTCAAATGTGAATAATTGCTTTAGCTTAACACTGTCTGAAATTTTTACTGAAATGTTTATTACATTACTATCACTAATACCCATTTTTGAGTTTGTTTCCTGGCTGCTACCTGAAACCCCAGCTCAGTGCTATTTTTGGCTGATAAGCATGGACTTTTGCTACAAGAGAAGTCCTAAGATTCTGAAGAACTAAACCACACTAAACTCTTTAGTCTTCTGACTAAAACTGCCTGAGATTAATAGCTTCCTGCAAAACTAAAAGAAGGAAATTAAAACACTGAACCTCTTTCTGCAGGGATCACAGCTACACACACATCCCAGATTCATCCCTACATTACAAAAGACTGAAGATTCAAGAGGTAATGGTTGACAGAACAGGACCTCTCAAGGGTTTTTGCTAGCAACATGGAACAGATGGTTTTTTGGTAGTTATTTGGCATATGAGCGTGCAAGTGAGGAAGAAGGAAACATTTTTCCTCAATTTGTTTTAACAGGTATTTAATTTCCTCCCAAGCCAGGAAGGTTCTGAACTTTTCTAACCATTACTTAGATTTATGAAAAGAGGGTCCACCAGCACCATAACAGCCAGATCTTTAAAGAGTAGCTCAGCAAATCAGTATTATTACTGCTGGTGTAACTAGCAAGCCCAATGATTTCCAGAAATATCTGAACTAAATGTCTACAATTCTATGGGCTGGACCCTGCCTATTGGTTAAATTTCACACAGACCAAACAAATACATGGTCCCTACCCTGAGACACCTACATTTAGGACAAAACATTAATGAATACAAGGGAAGAATGAAACAACACTGATCAGCATGACAAGCAGTGACCTATGCACACTTGCATTACAAAGCGACTTCCAAATTAAAGCACCACACTGAGGGGAGAAAAATCATTGTAGGAAGAGGTCAGCAAACCCTTTGCAACCATGGCATGATGTCCTCTTGACACTCGCCCTTAAGGTATTTCTAAGAGTTGATAAGATCCCCCCTCAGTCTTCTCTTCTCCAGGCTTAACAGACCCAGCTCTCTCAGCCTTTCCTCATAAGGGAGATAGACCAGTCCCCTCATCATCTTTGTTGACTAGAGACCTCCTCTGGTCTCTCTCCAGCAGTTCCTTGTTTTTCTTGAACTGAGGAGCCCAGAACTGGACACAGTACTTCAGATGTGGCCTCATCAGGGCAGAGTAGAGGGGGAGGAAAACTTCTCTTGACCTGCTGGCCATGCTCTTCCTAATGCACTCCAAGATACCATTGGCCTTCTTGGCCACAAGGGCACATTGCTGACTCATGGTCCTTCTCCACCGAGCTGCTCTCCAGCAGGTCAACCCCCAGCCTATACTGGTGCATGGAGTTATTCCTCCACAGGTGCAGCACCCTACACTTGTCCCTACTGAACTTCAACAGATTCCTCTCCAACTCTCCAGCCTGTCCAGGTCTCGCTGAATGGCAGCGCAGCCTTCTGGTGTATCAGCCATTCCTCCCAGTTTTGTATCATCAGCAAACTTGCTGAGGGTACACTCCATCCCTTCATCCAGGTCACTGGACCCAGAACTGACCCCTGGGGAACAGCACCAGCTACAGGCCTCCAACTGGAGTCGGAGCCGCTGATCACAACCTTCTGAGCTCTGCTGTTCAGCCAGTTCTCAATCCACCTCACTGTCCACGCATCTAGCCCACATTTCCTGACCTTACCTATGAGGATGATATGGGAGACAGTGTCAAAACCCTTGTGGTCAAAGCAGACCACATCCACTGCTCTCCCCTCACCTATGTCCACACATCTAGCCCACATTCCTGACCTTACCTATGAGGATGATATGGGAGACAGTGTCAAAACCCTTGTGGTCAAAGCAGACCACATCCACTGCTCTCCCCTCACCTACACAGCCAGTCATGCCATTGTGGAAGACTATCAGATTGGTCAAGCATGACTTCCCCTTGGTGAATCCATGTTGACTACTCCTGATAACCTTTTCCTCCACAGGATGACGGATCTTGGCTACAAAAATAAGCAACCCTTAGGCATAAAAAAAAAATCATTAAGGCAGCAATAAAAAACAATTGAAAAAAGCTAGATTTTAAGTTTTGTCCCAGAGCCTTAAAGAGCTAGAGGAGTTTTGGGTCTAAACTATTTTGAAAAGAAATAGCCTTCATAAAATAATTTAAACATAACTTTTCGTCATGTGTGTATAACTACCTTGCTTCATTTAAACACAGGTCAAATATAGCTATCTGAAGGAACACTTAAGCACACTTAAAGAGCTGCGGCATACCCAGATGCAAGTCTCCCCGCCATTAAGTTCCACCAAGATGATCCTGTACTCACATCTTTTTAAAGCTGTGCAAGTTTTCAAGGATGGCCATCACTGCATGGCCCCGAAAAACCACAGAGTGTTACTGCACATGTCCAGGAGTTACACCACCCACTGGCATATGTGCTACAGTCTTGACATATCAACAGAACAGGATGCCAGCTAAAAACAGATCCCAGTTATTACCAGTCCAGAAAGACTTAGCTGTAGCTGAAGCAGGTAGCTGCCATTTAAATCTTGTTTTCAACTGCTTGAACTGGATCACTCAAATTACAATGTAAAAACTTAACAATCCACTGCATTATTGCAAACCTCTACAGTAAAGCTCAAAAGACCAGGAAGCCCTACGTGGTTCTGAATCCTGGCCATCGAGAGGCAGTTTCATCTTTACAAAAAGCAACTCTAATATTTTGTTATCCAAGACAGTATATTAGACTAAAACATTCTATCTCCACCAGATAAAGCATTCTTTTCAATCTAGATTTCCTAGCTTTTAAATCTACAAAAATTGCCAGCTAGATGAATCCAAGACACATATTGCAGCTATGAATAATTTCTAGTAGTTCTGGTGTATGCTCTTTACATCACATCTGGCACACAGCCATATATATGCAAGTTTCCCTTATACCTGAGGAAGAGGAATGAATTAGGTACTTTAAAGAAAACACTTCAAGGGAAAGATGTTATACAAACTGGTGTTAATTCATCACATCTGCTTCTTATCTACTTGATTAGCAATCATGTGATACTGAGATACTGTAAGTACTTTAATATAGAATTAGATTCCTAACCACACAGCAGCACTGAAAATCCCATCTGTTTTCAGGAGCTGGCATTAACTTGTTTTTTTCCTTGCAAAACTCTGTTTAAGGAAGTACACTGTGCCAGATTAACAACTCCTCTTTCAGACTCTGATAGTGATACTCCATATGGACTACTACACCGTATCAAAGGACTGGTTTTCAATGCTTTCCAGCAGCATCATAAGCATTGTAACAACTTATGTTTCTCTTTTTACTGAGCAGGATAACAAGAACATCAAAATTTTGCAAGCAATTCTTACACAAATGTAACAGTAACCTCATTTTCATATCTTGAACATAATAAATATTCTTTAAATTCATTTGTCCCGCCATATTTGACATGAGGCAGCTCTGTCAAGAGTTTTATTCCTTTTTTGGGTTATATCAAGGTTAATGATACATTAGAGGACAGTGAAAGTTACATAGCAATCTATGACCAGCAAAAGCAAGTTCCACCAAAAGTCTCATAGTCAGTTTCTGCAATTCTGCAGTTAGATTACATTGCAAATAGACAGTAGTGGGAAATGCAGTGTAGACTCAGCTGTCACTCAGAAAACGAATAAAAAAATAGAGCAAATACTGAAATAGTAGAGCAGATTCTTTCTCCCAAAGGCTATTTGGCATTAATCCCTCCTATACACTGCCTTCCACACTACATGCAGATAAGCAAGGGCTACATTACTCCACTAATTTGCCTAAGGAGAAAGTTTATGCAAATAACTTTCCTAAACACATAGCAGGATGGAATTGCCCCCAGGCCTCACAGTAAAGAAAGCCAGTAATATTCACAAACTGAGTGCATACTAGCATCCTTATTCACAATTTAAAGCTGTATTGAGTAAAGCACTTAAACCAATTTCTTACAAGGCAGTGCACAATGCAGACGTTTTTCTGGTCTTGTTTCAGCCATAAATGCATGTTCTTGCATATGCTATAAAGATTCTGAAGATTTGGTGCTCGTCTTGCTGGCCAGCCACATTCAGAAACCTGCAATGAGACAGCAGAGGTGAGAAATGAGATTACATAGTCATATACATTTGCATAGCATAAGCTGTGTATATAAGAGGCACTTTTCCAATTTAATGCCACCTTCAGGTAGAAATTAAGCAAGATGCTAAAGAAAAGCAGTCTCGCACAGCATAAGCACCACTTTATAGGATGAAGTGCAATAAAACTCCAGTCCTGTCTACGGTCTGCTGCACTAGAAGTATCAACAACTCAGATCAAGAAAGTTTCAGATAGTAGAACAAAGAATAAAGTGAAACAGCTTTCGACTTGGTTTGTGCATATATTCTTAGGCAAAAAACCAGAAAAACTTGGTTTGCTTTTACATTTGTCCTTTATTCAAAGAGCCTCAACAGTTAAGTTATAATCCTTCTGCAATTAGTGGCACAAAACTACCAAATAATTAGCTTCACTGCTGAAAGTCTATATTCTTAAAAGCAACTATGCAGTAAAAATGCAGTTTAAGAAACCTGATCCTTGAGCATTTGCAACATCTAAAGAGTTCTGCCAGGACCAAAGAAATAATCTACAAAGCAAGCTGCTTCTATTTCTTTGTAGCCAGGATCACAATTGGTGAATGTGGAAGACCAAGTTTTGCTATCAGCAACACATTTTCTCACCCATATAAAAGAGTTCAAGGGTTACTATGAAATGAATTAACTGACTGAATATCACAAAAAATTTTCAAAGAGATTGGTTTTGTGCCAAGCTCAAGACAAAAGGTTGAAACAAACAGTGTGACATAGAAATTCTCCGAAGCTTTTCCCTGTATTCTAGTATCTTAATTAAAAAAGAGGGCAGTTTCAGAAAGCCTCGCTTTGTGAGAGACTTAAATTCAGCATTCTTTTGTTAGTGAAAGTTTACGCAAAGTCACCACTGAACTAATACAGCTAAGGCAAGCAGTCCTTTATATTCCTGTTCACCACAGGATTCAATGTGGGCTTCAGTACATATCAAATATTACAACAGTAGTAAAAGAATCATATTGCAGCATTACAGCTACAAACCAGAAAACTCTCTAGGAAAGCAGGTATATTCAAAAAAGCAAAAAGAACTGACTTTTTTCTGATTTACTGTTTACTTTCTGCTCAAACACTAGTTTTGCTACAAGATGTAGACCACACAACATTGCTTTCTTTTCCTTTGGTCATGTCTTAAGCTCAAAATATTCTGATCATTAGCAGAATGATGGAGAGTGCATAACCTCTCTGAGCAACCTACTCCAAGTAGGACTTCAAAACTATCATTAACTTCAAAGTTAGAGAAATTTATAGAAGTTCTATGCAGATAGCATACAGCAAGAAAGCAAGAATATATAGTATCATGAATACTTACTAAGCAAACTGTCAGAATGAAGTATTTTAGAACCTGTTCTTCTCTGATCAATTTTAAGGCTTGCCACAATCATCTTTTGCCAGCACTAAGGAAAAACTAAGCTTCCTTAGCTTCCTATGTGGCTGCTCTCACCCAGCAGTGAATAATGAAGTTCAGTCAGTCAGTATGCTTATTGTGCATTTGGATTTCAAAGATGGACAGGGAAAAATTCCCGAATATATTTAAAGAGTTCATTTTCCAAGTAAAACAGCTGCCTTTTTTTTTTTAAACAGAAGGCAACGTTTTGTAGAAACTTCCTAAATACTCCCAGTCAAAAGTGGGCAGGAACCTACAATGTTTTGAGAAGTTATGATCTACAAGTACTTCCCAGCAAAACAAAGATAGTAAAACAAAATGAAGGTCAAAAAGACAAATTTAGACCAGAACAGTTCTAGATCACTGGCAGATTTAGTTGTGTACATATTATCACTTACAGTACCAATACAGTACCAGTACATCAGGAATGTAATTGTATAGGCATCTCAGACTTGCATAATCAAAAAACCATACCCAGGGTAAACAATTTCCCAGTCACAGAATTTATCATTGCATCAACAGAGACTGATAGAGCTTTGTAGGATGAGGAATAAATCAGTTCACTATGTCAGCCCCAGCCAACCTTCCAGCAATGTAGTGCTAAAAAGTACTGCTGAAGAGGTATCTGCTCCAAATAATCATGCAGGAGGTTGCCTGCATGATTAAGCTTTGCCTTCCATGTTGAACAGCTTCTGCCTGAATCTTATACTGAACCAGATGCAGATAAAGAAGTTGATTGCCTCTACCCATAGAGGTAATAATCATTTTTTTCAGGTGTGACAACACTGTCTTTTCTACAAGTTTACAAGGCAACAAAAGGAATGAAGTGGCAAGCACTAGATAGAATATATTAAACATATCTCAGCCTGACAGTTTAACTGAACTTGCAAAACTGAAGTAATCCTAACAATGCCTCTGCAGGATAAGGCTTCCTGTAACAAATAATGCTTCTAGACTCTCCTTGGGGAGTATTGTGAGGAAGGGGCATGATCACTACAGACCGTATAGGTGAGGTGTAGTGTGGCCAGTGCTAGACAACTCACAGTAACAGTCTCCACTGTTGAGCTGCTTACAGGACAGTTGGGGTGTATTTAGGAGCAGATGTTAAAGTCCAGTATCTCAGTACCTAACAAGCAGTCCTCACTACCTTGTTAATGAACTAGGCAAATGTCTTAATTTTAGTATCAGAGAAATAGCCAGAAAGGCTAATGGAGGCTCAGCTAAGCTATACCAGTATTTCAGGCAGCAGCAACAAGCAGTCATATGGGAGTCAAATGGTATGTAGTGGGACAAGGAAAAAGTCCAGCAAAGAGGTTGTACGAATCAAGTCACCAAAGGAGTACTACCTTTGATAAAGGAACACCTCTGAATGTAGGAAAGATTGAAATTTTAGTAAGATTTTTAATTATGTTAAGTATTCTCCATTTAAATATGAAATATCTAAGGTACATGTACATGTTTTCAAAGATATCACTAGCCTAGGAAACACAGATTTTAGACAGCAAAATTAAAGATTAGTCTTTAATCAGTTAAGTTTGGATTGAAATAAAAGACAAGCAGAATGTAAGTTATTCTTCGACCTTATGTTTATACTTATTCTTTTGTCATCTTTTTGATTGTGCAGCCTACTTTAAGGTATTTCACAATAAAAAGCTGAAGGCATAATCAACGTTGTGTTGAAAGACCTTTCACAGAAATACACAAAACCTATACACACCCTATTATGGAATCTTGAAGGCCTGTATGTGCGTGGAGAGAGATTGTACACAGCATAGTGGCCAGGATGTTTAGAGTCCAGACATAACCGCACATCTTCTATGTTATTTTTGATGGCAGATTCCACACCTTCAGCTGGAAAGGACATCACTGAAGCCAGAACAACAAACATCAGGTGAAGTATTCACTTTTTTCATACATTAAGAACAATCAGAAATTATTCTCAAGACAGACATAGCTATCATACCAGCAATTCTGGAAGTGATGTAGGATATATCCAAGTCTCCTTTTGCATAACTGAAATAGAACACATTGGAGTTAATATTGGGAAACAGAACCATTCAAGCCATAAAACTAAAACCCAGGTCTCTCACATTATGCCTGTCACCATGAATAGTGTTTCATTTCTTCCATCTGAGGCTTGTTACCTCACACTTCAAGGTTTTCAGAGTAGAAGCTGTATTTGAACAGTTACTCATTTACATCAGTTGCAACAAAACCGTCTCTGGGGATTTCGTACAGATGCCTTAATTTTTTACTCATTCCCCTAGCTCCTGCGCTTACTGATAAACATTTATTGTAGGTATCACTTCCAAAGTCTAATGAGGATGCATTAACATCTCTAATGGAGGACATCATAATGCTTAAAACAAAGACCATCTGTTGAAATATTACATTTTAAATTACATAACTCTGGTATATTACTATCAGGTCCAGGTGGTCATGCTGCCCAATTTCTGTATTCCACATAAATAGAAGGTACCCAAATCTCTTTCCTCATTTAAATAATTCCTAAAAAATTCACTTCCAAAACTCCCATAATAAGCAAGTCATTAATCATTACTCATCTCTTTCTCATACAGTTGTGCACAGTTTTAAAGAGCAGCCTTCTAAAAAAAATTATCTCCCGGTGATTTTTTTTTTTTTTTAAGTCCATTCCCTTCATCTGTATATAATCACCCACCTTATGCCAATAATTTACTATTTTAAGAGCACTATTTTTTTTGTTTCTAGGGTATCTGCTACATAGCAGGACAAAAAAGCCGGAGAAAAACACTGAAGAGCTCCAGTGCAGGCCAACACCCTTGAGTATAATCACGTAAGTCTGCACTTCTGATTGGCAAAATAGGAACACATACAGAATTTAGTTTAGACATCCTTAAACTTATGTAAGTCAGTAAGATGTTATCTCCAGAATATCAAAATGCCACCACAACACTATGACGCATGTTTAAAGAATGCAGACGCACTATCAAAACAATATTTTTGTATCATTGCAAAGTTTCAAGACACTGCTTAAAAGAGCAGACATAGGATACTGCACTCAGATTCTGAAATATAAGGAGAGAACATTTATGCTTTGATTCCTTACTGCTTGTTAGTAAACATGAAGAAGGCTGGAGGGATTGATTAAAAGGTTATTGAATTTACAAGGATTGGGAGGAGGATGTTAGATAAGGCAAGAACAACTGTTCTGAAAGCAAGGACATTAAACAGTGTTTACATGGAATGGCGTAATCTGTGTCCTAACAATGACTCAAAGTATCAAGAGAAATTGAAATCACCACAAGGAAGTTTGAGAGTCTCACTAGACAAAGCACTAAATAACTCAGCCTTGAAAAATCTTGCATAAGGAGGTAGACAAAACGGCCAAGTAAACATTATTTCAAAATTCTCTGCACCTTTGGAAGGACATAAATTCATCATGTAGCTAAAGCGGTAACACTGTTGCAGCCAAACTAAGGCAGAAATTTACATTCAGCACTAATCATGATTTCTTACTAAAATTAGTGATGAGTATAGTCCTTTATATGACTGAGAAGTGTCAAATCTTATTTGTTGCTTACACCGCCCAGCTTCAAGCAAGAAAACATGCAGATCATTGTAATGATATCAATTTTTTTGATATTAAGATAAAGAACCACCTAATATGATAGCCTGAGAACAAAGAACCATTATCTCTTCAATGCTGTAACACTGAGGTTAAGCAGCAACTTTAAACAGAAGCACAGAACAATTAAGAGCAAAAAACCAACAGTCCTCACACATTCCTTTGGGAATATTTTCAGATGTTGACTTCTCACTAGCAGTATCACTCAATTCAGCTTGCCATTTTATGTTTGTCTAAATTAAAATGCAACACTATTAGGAGCATGGTTCTCGTCATACAGACATTGCTGAAAAAGTGCAGCTTGGTATGTTAACAACGAGCACTGCCAACTCAAGCTTGCTGTTTCGCAGGAAAAAAAATCTGTAAGCCTGTTAAACTGAAAAAGCTTCAGCATGTTTGTGCAGTCTTAATTAAAATGTAGCTGATAACTGCAAAATCAACACAAGTCTCTTAAAACATGTGACCTTGTCCTTGAATTATTATTTCTTGAACTTTACTCTGAAGATTCTAGAGCTATTTCAGTAGTAAGACCTGAACACAAAGTACTCTGTTTTTAGTGAGTTTCATGTCAGACTGGTAACTAAGCTTGCTTTAAATGACAGGAGGGTGAAAAACTGCATATTCTTCACACTGATAAGCATTCCTACACATATCAAGATATAACACTGTAACTAAAAATCAGGAATAAGGTCTTTCATCTTGTTAACAGTAGAAATTTCATTTACATAGCATGTTGCTGGCCAGTGATAAAGGTAGAAGAACATGCAAACAAATCAAGATACTGCATGCAGGGTTTCTGGCTTGCGACCCATATGGAAAACTTGGTGTGCTTTTTATGGCTCTAATTAGGCTAAAAAGGAAAGTATGTGGTGACACCAATATTTAGTCACTTTTCTGATGATACTAGGCTACTTCAAGGCTTTAGTGAGAAGTCTAGTGGGAAATGTAGCAAACAAGATACGAATTCTCCTTTTGCAGAATAAATACCTAAACAAAATCAGAAGCTTTTATTAGATGTTAAAAACTTTTCACTGTGTAAATGGCTGGCATTATCAATCTTGCCAGAAAACAGCTGCACTTAAAGACCGTAACTACTATTAAACAAAAGATTATTCCAGCAAATTAAGTTAAAAACAATTAAATTAAAATTAACAATGAAATTCACAAAATAAAACTAGTTAGCATACAGCACAAACTTCTGCAACAGTGCATAGTCACCTAGTGTTACTAACAGCTGAAGATGGGAAAGAATGACAGACTAACCAGCACAGCTACAATGTGAGCACACAAACTATTATCTTCAGTTAAATGATGTTCTAACACTAAGCAATCTTCCTCCAGACATCTCTACACTCAGAACAGTAGAAAAACATCTATTCATTAGTAAACACTACCATTTTTGAAGCCTATTTTTTAAAAGCCAGGAAGAAATGCAGCACTGAAATTCACATCAATTCACAATCAAAATGCTACCACTTGGTTTTGCTTTGTAAAACTGAATTAATCATTCAGCTACCTAGTACAACACAAAGATCCATGAAATAAAACATTCATGCAGGATCAAACCAGAAACAAAATTATCTTAGCAGCAAAGAAAGCTAGCAATAAAAGGCAGCTAATTGTTCCCTAGATTACTAGATCACAATCTCTTCAGTGAAAGAGACTATCCTGACTAAGCAAAACAAGACTGATCATTAAGTTTTACATGCTGCTTTCAATACCAGTGAAGACCAGATACTTAAAACATTTAGTTATGTTTTTCGGCACGGCACCTGTACCCTGTGTGGATGCAGATCTCAGTAAGCATAAAAGCTGGTCATGGGCACAGCAGCATCACAACCAAGAGACGGATGAGCTGAACAGAGGTATACTGAGGCTTCATGGCTGCAGACCAAGTTATTGGGCCCACAGGGGTATATGTGCTGGAAAAAAGTTCCCTTCTGTGCAAACGCTGCTCTGTCGTATCAGGACCATGCACAGAGCAGTGCATACCTGCTCTAAGTGTGTATACACCCTAGTACCTTTTTTAGGTCAGTTTGTATCAATAAAGGGTAGAACCTCTGTTGCTCTGTGTTCTCTCTCACGTAGCTATAAACTGCTTCTGCTGGACCTGAATCTGCAACGGAGACTGTGACACCTGGAAGTGAGGTGGTCTGGGGGACAATCAAGATGGCCCACATTCACACTCATGCTCCTAGTAGCCTGTGACATGTTTTAGTTTTCACACTTTATCATTTACTAGGATAAGCAAGAGATCAAAATTTGAATTAAAATAAAGGCAGCTATGGGACAGAAAAAAATCAACTTTTTTGTAGCAACTACAAAACACTAACTCTGCCACTGCAGTTTGGATTCAGTGAGAAAGAAGTCTGTCTGCAGGTAACGGAAGTAACTCCACAATTCAGAAAACCAACGATAAGTAGGAAGGAGAGAGCCTACCTAATGAGATGGCAGACTCCAACACGAGGAGTGCTTAAGTGTAGTGAGGAAAATGCACGACAAGGAAGAGACATTTTAGTTTGTCCAGAATGTCTGCTTCTCATGTTGGTTGAAGAGTTTTGGAAAGGCAGTCAAGGATGCAACAGTAGAAGAGGTATTCTCACATCCCTGATGGTGTCAGCTGTAGCCAAACACAAGTTTGTAAAGGCAGAGAATGACCATGACAGAAACAGCTACGTCCCACAGTACATGCAAACAAAGAATTAACACTTCAGCTTGATTAAAGCATAAATAGTTTAAGAATGCACAAGCCCAGTGGTGTGACTCTGAGCAACCCAGTGAACGGTAAATGCTAAGAATGGTAAAAGCTAAAAAACTGAGACTACCTTAGGTCTTGCATAACATTAAGTATTGCTCACATTAATTCTTTTCTTTTTTAGTTTCATGTTTAATTTCAGTGAACTGTTAAATACAATTAAGATTCAAAATACATGACAGACTTACCAAGGAATGAAAATTACAAAACTAAAGGCCAATAAGGAATATTGGCAAATTACAAGTGGAAAGAGTTTCTCTTCCAGTATTGACTAAGTATTATCTGGAAAATAAGTATTGAAGTAACTGCTTCTCACTGGCATAAGTGTGTACTTGATGCATTCTCTCCTTTTCTTTCACTCCCCAACCCAGGACCAAATTCACTTGGATAACACAAGAAAACAAAAAGGCAGTTGTACAAAGACAGAGAGTCCTCCACAAAACCAAGATTTGTTTACGTTAGTGCAAAGCATAAACAAAAATCTGATAGTCTCACAAACTCTGTCAACAGAGGTGATGTGCACAAGTCACCTGAATATAAACCCTTATTCAATCAGCCTAGTCCAAAACATCTGTGAGAGACTGATCTCCTCAGGATGAATCTTGAGACTTAACATATACTGCCAGACAATCCTCTGTCAATCCATCACAGCCCATGGAAGTGCTGTAACCCCCATTAGCTGGAAAAGGCGTGGGGCTCATTGATCTAATATGGGTATTACAATACTCCTACCCACTAAGAGCTACAAACGAAAACCAGGTCAAACAATTACATTCACAAGCTACTCAATTCCAGTAAATATCCACATGTGACTTTCTGTAATTAATACAAATAAGATGTAAACGTAATAAGCTTTTCTTGGACTAATATTTACTAAGTTCCACAAGACACGCACAAAAATGTCTCCAGCAACACTCATATTCCTGACAGAGGCTCAAACACTTCCACAAAGTAAATAGTCATGCTAGATAAGGTTTAAGGTAGTTCAGAGGATTCCAATAATCCCTTATGTCCCACACAAATTTAAGGCATAAATCACCCTACCATCAGGCTCTGTGCAGGACTCGAGAGCCTCAAGTTCCATCTGAGTCATACTTTCCCATTTTTTGACAAAAAAGGGATTCTAACTAAAGTGCCAAGCATATAGTTCAGCAACAGAGCACTAATGCAAATTCACAAGTCACATAGTGTCATGGTTTAGCCCCATCCAGCAACTAAGCACCACACAGCCTCTCACTCACTCCTACTCCCTCCCAGTGGGATGGGAAGGAGAAGCAGAAAACAGTAAAACTTGTGGGTTGAGATAAGAACAGCTGAATAACTAAAGTAAAATAAAATACAATACTAACAATAATAATAATAATTTAAAAATACTTTAATAATAACAATGAAAAGGAATACAAAAAAGCCAAGAAAGGACAAGTGATGCACAATGCAATTGCTCACCACCCACTGACTGATGCCAAAGCAGTGATCGGGCCCTCTTGGCCAGCTCCCTCCAGTTTATATACTGAGCGTGACGTTCTATGGTATGGAACATCCCTTTGGGTACTCTGGGTCAGCTCTCCTGGCTGTGCTCCCTCCTAGCTACTTGTGCACCTCCTCGTTGGCAGAGCATGGGAAACTGAGAAGTCCCTGACTCAGCTGTTGCTAAGTACTGCTTATGCTAAAACATCAGTGTGTTATCAACATTATTCTCACACTAAATCCAAAACACACCGTACCAGCTACTAAGCAGAAAATGAACTCTGTCCCAGCCAAAACCAGGACACATAGTAACTCTAAGAATAAGGTAAGATGCAAGATTTATTTTGGGCAGTCACCATAATCTAAAAAAACACTTGTAGAGAAGAGTATTTGAACTAAACAGCATCTTTTCAGATGTAGTACTCACTGTCCTATACTTCAGAAGCTGCCAAAGGAGCTCTGTAGATGCAGCTGGATGTACAGTTACTGTTTTATTCCTTGCACACTACACTTCTTATGGAACCAAAGGAAATCATACAAAGTAAAAAGCCACACACACCTGTTAGGTAAGAGAAATAAAAATAAGGTGCAGGCACAGCATAAGCCATTCCATATTAAAAAGTCAATTTTAGACAGTCCTAATCCACCAGTAGAAAAGGGGAAAATGGCACAAGATGAAATTCAAAAGAGTAATTAAACTTCCAGTGGCCTTTAAGGAAGAAACTGCTTGCAAGAGCAGGAAGAGGAAGCTTCTTCAAACATAACTGACTGATGGAGGTATAACAATCCAGAGTCATGTGGAGACAAGAGCACAAGAAACTGAAGTGCAGGAGTGCTTCAGAAGCATGTAGTACACAATCAAAATACGGTACCAGCATAAGATCTAATACAGGAATACAGGCATGGGAAAGCAGGGCTTGTAACTCTGCCTAAGGTAGAGAAGAATTTAAGTGTTACCTGTCAAAAAAAGTAACTTCTCCACTGCGATACTTAGATCTAAGCAAAACTGGCAGAATTTAAGACAAGGAGTTAAGTAAACTTTGAGTTTATAAACAGTAGAGCTGTCAAAGGCAAGGAATCTGCAGAGTATTTCTATGTTTTACCACACAGTAAATTTCGTTTAACAAGATACCACAAAAAGAACACAAGTAGGACTGAAAAGGAGGGGAGAGGAAGATCAGTTCCACAGAAGGTAGCACGTACACAGCAATGAAGAACAGAGGCCTGCAAGAGAGCATATGCCAAAGAAATAAAACGGAGAGCAGTTGCTTAAAAGTTGGTAGTTCATCATGTTACTTCATACATGGAATTCCTACAGCGCTGCTAAGCTGTTAACAAGTCACCACTTCTCATCATGCAACAGTTCATTCCCCTTTACCTCCCTCCTCTTCTCTTGATTTCCCAGGGTGACAAGTTTGATGCTACCGTGCCAATTGTTTCTGTAGAAAGCTTAAGGACAAACCAAAGCTGTGTAGCTTTTGCAATCTTTAAAAATTAGAGGACCTGGCCTTTCTAAGCCACACATAGGAAGTTTAAACAGACTAAGTGTAAGAGCAAACAGCTAAAAATGCACTTGAACTGGCTACAGAGGTGCAAGAACTACAGACCTAACTTATCTGATCATTACAAACACTTCAGAGCAGCACTATGCACAAGTTCTATTCAGTGACAGAAAAACATTGCAAGCAATAGACTTCACAAGCCATAGCGCAGTATCCCAATTAAAGTCTTACAAGCCATACAGCAAGAAACAAAGCTCGGTATTCCTTAGGAGGCTCTAGTTCAGTCATGGTATTCAGTAGTGACTCACCTGCTCTTCCTAGAATTAAGAAAAAACTTTTGCATCGCATAAAATTTTAGTATGAGTTAAAAAAGTATGAATCATACAGATTGATTAATATTGATCATATAGAGGTACTAGAAACATTTTGAATGGGGCTGAAAATGTTGATTAGAAAAAATAATCACACATTAGGTATCTGAGAACACATACATCAAAATTGAAGAGTATTATTTCATGTCATGCAGGGCAAAGGAGACAAACAGTGCAGATCCTCTCACTTTGTCTTGAGGGCATATGATCCCACCTGAAAACTAAACTGGACAGAAGAGCTCATACACTAATTGCCTGTAGTCTTTCTTCTCACTTCCATTCCCATTATTTGTACCTTTCACCACTCTACCTTTTTTTCCTTCCTCTCTTATTCATGGAGGCCCAATCTACTAATTCAATTCATTCATTCTGAACCGTGATAGTCCTATTCCATACCTCTCCACCCTGCTCCAGCCCCCATGTGCTCATCTCTCACAAGCTTTCAGTATCTAAAATACAGCAGGGGAAGCAGTACTTACGGACAGGCTTTTGCCCTCAACATTCTCATTCCTCGCACATGATTGCTAAAGTAACTTTTGTATTAATATCATTCATAAAATCTCAGGGCTAGCTACCAACTACTAGAGCTCATACTTGGAAAAGTATGTTGAATTTGATAATTTCTGGAGTAAGCTCCTTACCCTTTCATTTAGAACTCTTACCAGCAAAATTTAAATTTTTTTAATTTTTTTTACTCACTTGGCCACAGACTGGATAACTTTAGAAGATGTATCCTTAATATTAGTGAAAAATCGCTCTGTTCCACCCCTCAGAATATCAAAGAACCCTCCATAAGTCTGGTCACATTCCGCAACGGTCAGGCCTAGAGTAGTCGAATAAAAATAATTGTACTTTAAGTCATATCCTGGAATGGGCTCCATACTAAAGCAAGTTGCCTACAAAGCTGGAAGTTAATGCACATACAGGCTACACCTCGGTGCAATGCAAGTTCTAAAGTTCTCCTTAACTATGACCTATGCAAAAAATAGTACTTCCTGTGGTCAGGAGGTACTAGCAAACTACTTAACACACTGTTTAACTGACTGTTCGCATTTAAGAGGAAACAAGGTAAAAAATTTCTGAAAGTAAAGCATTTATTTCATATCGCCAGTACAGCAAAATGCTGTCTTTTTTCAGTATCAGTCTCCTGAAGTGCACCTTATCATTAGCAAATCTACTTAAGCACCCCCAGCAGACACATTTTAATGCAGGGCTTCAAAAGCAGCTGGCATAAATAAGTTACTTTTTAAACACAACATCCCAGCTAGCACAGCGTCCCAGCACAACACCCTTATTAATATGATTGTATACAACAAACAGTACTCGTTCCTGCACAAAACAGATGGCCAGACAGTCTTTTGATTATAATCCCATTAGGAAGCTGGATTCTTCCACAGAAATGGATACATAGATAACATTACTGCAATAAATATTACTCAATTTCAAAAGTTTCCCTGGAACATTAATATCTTTTGTCTCATTGGCAATTCAGCATAAGTAATATGAAGCAAGAAATAACAAGCTGGAAGGAAAATTGAACATAGTATGAAATACTCCCTTGATACCTTCTATGTCAATTGAAATGTTACATATTCACATATGATATATGATAAGATGGGTGCAGAAACTGCTTTTGAATAAGAAATTAGCTGCAAATAAACCTATCAAGCTTCTCATTTTCCTTACTATACTAAGTGCAAGTATTTTCAACTGAATGAACTCTGGAGTTACCTATTTTTACAGAATGGGTACGTCAGCTTTTAATTGTGTCATTTTGGAGATGTGTTTTAGCTGACTCAATTTAGTACTGCTAGTCCAAATACTCTTTTTCCTCAGATGGAACCACAACTCCTTCTCCTCACCATTGATGTCCTATGGTGCAAACATCTCTGGAAGTCCTCCCTGCAAAAATCCTCCCATAATTAGCTGGGCTCAAGGCAGTATCAGCTATGGCTATTTCTGAAAGTACTGACTGGACAGCCAATAAACTGAGTTTAGGCTGCTGCTTTTTCCCTTTGAGGCTGTCAGACATGAGTCTTTTGGAAGTGACAAAACTAAATAGCTTTAGACTATGATCACTCTGTCAGATGCACTTCAAACTACCATGGGGGGGTGATAAGTCTTTGGGGGGGGGAGGAGAGAAAGGTGGACCCCAGATGCTTACAGAAGTATTTTTTCCTCATATAGGCTTTTCGCAGGCTAAAATAAACACGTCAGGTCAATGACTCCTTAGCATTAATTAATTACTGTGGTCCATGGTCAAAATCCCTGCAATTGCTTCCATGTTTCCTTATTGGACTACCTCAGTGGTTAGACACCAATCCTGTTTTAGCAGGAAGTTATACCAAAAACCACAGAATGGCTGCTATCTTTTTAAGTTGTAACATATCTGATGTTAAGGAATTGTTCTTGGAAAGCAAAGACAACTGTCATTTTCTACACCAAAGATCCAATATTGTGCACAAAGCAGGATATGTTCTGATTTCAGTAACTTCTGCCACAAAGCAACAACGTTTCAGTTAAAAAAGACAGCACTTCTGAGAAGTTTAACAGTTTAAATTTAAACTCCTCTTAAATTCTCTTTACATAAGACACTTTCAAATATCGTTGCCTTATTGAATCAGCAAGTTTTGGATTTAAAATAAGCCATTTTTATTCATTTGTCACAACCTGAAGACTACTTTCTCTACACCTTTTGCTCTTAAGAACATTATTACTTATTGTATCCACCACTTTCATCAAGTTTTAGTTCACTTATTTCAACTCTTCTTCCTCTACAGATCAACAAGGTATTTTAGTTTCAACTATTTTACATAGGAAACAGAATTTTATCTTGCCCAGCAGTGAACCTGAGAAATTCGTATCTGGATGTATCAACGTACAAACAAACCCTGCAAAAGTAAAAAAAGGTTAGAAACAGTGATATAAATGCAAAATAGCTAGTACTTGTGCAAAATGTCTAAAACTCCCAAAAGGTTTTTTTCACATAGAAGATACACAATTGGTTTTACACTAAGATGATGTCTCTTTCTGCACTTACCTGCATTGTACATATTGTTGAGCTGTCCTGCAGGCTTGGAGCTCTGTGAAACAGAGGTTACAGATGTCCGAGGCTGAGCATTGTTTCCATAGCCTCCATTTTGTTCCAGGAGCTGAGGAGATAAATACTCACTATGAGTATTTTCTTGCCAATTGAGCCAACTAGTTATGCTTTGTAAATTACTTTTACTTGGGGACAACAAGCAAGGTGAACCCCAGGAGAAAACCAGGAAGTTAAGATACACTGATTGACTTGCAGTATTGTGCAAACTAAGCATCAAACAGAAGACACCTAAGTGGGTTTCAAATTAGTGTAGGCAGGGCCTTCGTATATTAGATTTTTCTGTGCAAGTTAATTACGATTAAAGGCAGAATGTCAAACAGAGCACTTGCCTACTAAAGAATGACCCAAGATGAGTTTTTCAACAAGCAGTAAGAACTACAACTAGTTTCCTCTAACGCCATGCAAGTTCTGTGCTTCAAAAGGCACATTTTCAAAGATCTTACAAGTGATACAGACCAATTCAACCGAATTTCAAAATAAATTAGTATGAAATTTTCAAAAGACTAAGGAACAGGGGACCTGCTCTGACATCTGTTACTAAACTCACACTCAGTGGATAAGGGAGGAGAGAAAAGACACCTAATCAATAATACTTCTTATGAGGCATCTTTACCTCTGTGATGGGGGATTTAGGATTCACATTCCTAGCTGCTGCAATCTCCTGCAGTTGATTCACAAGTTCAGTGATCGACAATCTCTCCTCTGGGTTCACCTTCAAAGTGGAGCCTAAAAAAGCAGATTCAGACAATACAACAGAAACCCTTCAGAGCTTTTCTCCCAGCAGATAGTAATTTCTTCAGTACACTCCAGTGCACTTAGCAATCAAACACCTGAACAGAGTGGAGCAACTGCTAAATCCATATCCAAATATCATTGTCATAACAGGTATCCATGAAAAAGCACTATTTCAGGTTAAGAATATTTCAAATATTAGGATCAGTTAGTGAATAACCTCAGAAATAACTTTTTATCTAATAGTGATGGAGTTGGAGACACACGTCTGGCACTGTAATTAATGTTTCCAGTAATCTATTTGAAATTTAAAGAAAACAGAATTTCTAAAGCAAATTCAAAGAAACCAAGTCAAACCACTAGTTATTCCTATGGACTAATTCAGATCCTAAGCAAGTCAGGCAACAGCACTAAAAAACCCAAAAGATTCATTAAAAATTTCCAAGTTTTTTGATAATGGATTAAAATTTTTAATAAAACAAGAAGCTGTTGCAGTTAACCTTCTTCAACATCACATATCAATAACAATTAATTATCATTAATACAACACTGTTAATAATAAGATGTATCCATAGACATCAAATCAAGTAACATTGTAAACTTACGAATGAGATCATGAAACACAGAATAGCGGCTGTCATTTTGCGGGATGACATATTTTCCATTAACTATACGAAGTTTAGCTCCATCTTCAAATGGATGTTGCCTAAAGCACAGCAAGTACAGGATACAGCCCAGAGCCTACACAGAAATAAAGGCAGAAATATTTCATAGAACCATAGAATCATTTAGGCTGGGGAAAAAACCTTACGATCATTTAGTCCAAACGTTATCCTAACACTACCAAGTCCACCACTAAACCATGTCCCTAGGTGCCACATCTACACACCTTTTAAATGCCTCCACGGATGGTGACTCTACCAGTTTGCTGGGCAGCCTGTTCCAATGCTTGACAACCCTTTTGGTGAAGAAATTCTTCCTAATATCCAATCTAAACCTCCCCTGGCACAACTTGAGGCCATTTCCTCTTGTCCTATCACTGGTTACTTGGGAGAAGAGCCCAAACCCCACCTCACTACAACCTCCTTTCAGGTAGTTGTAGAGTGACAAGGTCTCCCCTCAGCCTCCTCTTCTCCAGGCTAAACAACCCCAGTTCCCTCAGCTGCTCCCCATCAGACTTGTTCTCCAGACCCTTCACCACCTTTGTTGCCCTTCTCTGGACTCACTCCAGCACCTCAAGGTGTTTCTTGTAGTGAGGGGCCCAAAACTGAACACAGCACTCGAGATGCGGCCTCACCAGTGCCAAGTGCAGCAGGACAATCGCGTCCCTAGTCCTGCTGGCCACACTGTTTCTGATACAAGCCAAGATGCTGTTGGCCTTCTTGACTACCTGGGCACACTCCTGGCTCACGTTCAGATGGCTGTCAACCAACATCCCCAGTCTTTCTCTGCCAGGCAGCATTCCAGTCACTCTTCTCCAAGTCTGCAGCATTGCAGGACCTGGCATTTGGCCTTGTTGAACCTCATACAATTGGCCTTGGCCCATCAATCCAGCCTGTCCAGATCCCTCTGTAGAGCCTTCCTACCCTCAAGCAGATCAACACTTCCACCTAGCTTGGTGTCATCTGCAAACTGACTGAAGGTGCACTCGATCCCCTCGTCCAGATCATTGATAAAGGTATCAAGCAGAACTGGCCACAATACAAAGCCCTGGGGAACACACTTGTGACCGACTGCCAACTGGATTTAATTCCATTCACCACAACTCTTTCGGTCTGGCCATCCAGACAGTTTATCCAGCAAACAGTACACAGATATCATGGTGGTGTCACAGCAGGCACAACACTGGCAGTGGCAGCTGGTGGCGCTGCCAGCCCAGGATGGGTATAAGAAAGGCTGCACCAGCCCAGGCTGGCAGGTGAGCAAGGGCAGGGAGGGGAGGGCACAGAGGCAGGGGCTGCCCATGGTGATGGATGGTGGCTGCTTTGTACTACACTTGGATGTCCAGACAGGGAAACAACCAGACCACAGCACACTCCTTTCCTCTTCCTCCTCTGCCACTGAGCTGGAGAGCTGCCAACAGTCTACAGGACAGATAAGACAACACCAACCCCTGCCCCATGGTGGTCTTACAGGGGGCTGGAAGTTCCCCAAAGCCATAGGCTCTGAAGGTCCCCACAGCCATGGACAAAAGGAGCTCTGCAGCACCCACCTTCGTGTGAAACTTATCACAGCATGAAAAAAGTTCATAAATACAAATTTTCTGATTCATGAACTCACTGGCTCGTTCTTCTTGTTTGTGCCGTCTTTAAGTCAGGTAATTATATTTCAAGTAGAATTTTAGGCTATAAAATTGATTAAGCTTCCTAATACTCCTTGCAAATCACAGGTTTCAATCATCAACTGCTGACTCATGCAACTCTATATATATGCCCAGTGCTTTAGAGATCAGCTTCACAGCCCTTTAGAAATAATTAGTCTTGATGCTTCTCTGAGGACAGAATGCTAGTGAAACATTCATTTGTTTGGCACTTCAATTACAGAACTCCAAGCAGCAATACTGCTATTACATTTGGGGTTTTTTCCCTTTCATGGAAGTTTTCAGATTAAGGGATTCTCCTGTCTTTTTAAAAAGACATTACAATACATCCATTTTATTAATTTCAGAGTATAAAAAAAATGACTAGTCTTGTGACACTGGACATGTTCAAGAACAGGATTTTTCTTACAAAAAGGCTCAGAAGTTTTATTTCATATCTTCATTCTGTGCTTCAAGGAGACATATTATTTGTGGGGAGAGAATTTGGTCTTTTGTATTTCTAACCCAGATACACTGTCATGCAATGCACCAGGTAGGTAAGCGTCTAAGTACTATTCAATTTGTTTAAATGACACTAGGGGAATAGAACATCATCTCTGAAACATTTATTTTGGTAAAGATTTGAAGAAAATAAGCCTGAAATTACGGTCCCTTTATTTCCTACTGTCAGGCAGCTAACGAATTCTTATAACAAAACTCCACACCATTTTCAGTCAGGTTCATTCAAGCCTCAAAAATTACAAAACCAGGACTACCATATCCTGGGAACTTACAAGTTCGTTGGTGTGCCCCAAGTTAAGACCTGTGCACCCTGACAAGGGAACAACCATCAAAACCAGAAGTCAGTTTTGAATTCTAATCTCTGAATAGTCCAGGTGTTATGGATTAGTTAAGTAACAGATGAAATTATCCTAAGTAAATTTAAATTGATACATATATTTTCATGTAAGTTAACATATGAAACATACTGGCAGAGTTATACTATTGTAATAGAACCATGTTCCATCTGACCTATAAAAGTTTGTTAATAAAGCATCCAATACCTCCAAGAAAACATTTGCACAACAGACTGGAAAATTCCTCCTCAAAGTTTCTTCTGAACACCAGTTTCGTTGCTTGAGCATATGGGCTTTTATAACCCCCACAAATAAAACAAGCCAGTGAAGACATCTGCTCACTGCCTCCAGTCCTCCATGTGCACTATCTTCAACTGTCCTTGCTTGTCAATTTATGCCAAGAATAGTTTCAAAGATCTGAACGTTATTAACATCTCAAAGATCTGAGATTTAGTTACTCCAAAACGCTTACTGAGTCTCTCAATCCAGGGCCAGAAAAAAACCATATATATTAATTCTGTATTGTTGTATAGCAAACATTTTCGTCAGTCTGTTGATAAAAAGCTCTCCATAATGTATACACTGAAGCATCATATAGTCCACATTAACTAATCCAGCAGGGGAGTACAGGAAATACCACCTACTCTGACACAGAAATGCCTGTTTACAAAGAATTAAGGCAGATCATAATTTATTTGGAGGAATAAAACTACTCCCTGTGCAGTCTGAGACACCGTACACATCAGAAGCGAGCATCCACAGCCACATGGGGGAGAAAAGCACAAGGGCAATTAGCTGAACACACCAGAAGTGAAGAGGCCACTTGGATTTGATCTTTGCTTTAATTGCTAGAGAATGTTTTTCATTCCCTCTGCTTTATCTGTAAATTAGGATTGTAACAGTGATACATTTTGAATATTTTAAACACCAATTGCAATTCAATTTGGCTCAAAGGTAATTCCAGTTGAAGCAAGGCAGTTCAAAGCCAACACCATTCACATAGCCTCAGCATTGATACACATAACAGAAGGGCTCATTTCCCCAAGATGTTGCCCCACAGCTGCCAACAGTCCCTCTACAGAAGCTGCCTGAGTCAGTCTGAGCACTCACATGCCAGCAGGTAAAAAAGCACCATGACAAGGTGACAAAAATAACTAGGAATAACTTTTTGACCTGCTGCTGGGCTTTTACCAGCAGCTAATTTAACCTTTCCTTAAAGGGACAGTGGGGTTTTGGGGGGGGTTATGGCAGTGTTTGGGAATTGGGGCGTGGGAGGTGGGGGGGGATTGTCTGGAACAAGCCAAAATACTGTTATTTCTCCACTGTTTCAGGTAATAAGCAGCATACTTAATGATGAAAAGTTCTACAGTATAGCTGCAGGATGACACACAGGTATTACAAAGTAGTTTCTGAATAGAATTAAACCACATGAAATCTGAAGAGATAATTCAGCTCACACAGAATTAAAACCTGCAAGCTGTCTTGCACTGACTAGAAGAATTTTCTACCAGATATTGATAAGGAGAACCCAACTTTGAAGTCTTGCTCCTTAACAAACATATTCCAAAGCCCATTGTTTTGCTTTTTCAGAAATTTGTAAGAGTATGAAGGGCCTCCCAAGCCATAAGATAATTTTAATGGAGAATCTTTATACAAGGTAAAGCCTATCATTTCAGTGGAATTCAGCTGAATTCCAGTTTAGGAAATCACATTAATTCAGAAAACAATGGAATTAAAGGTATTTGGGTTTAGTGTTTATTTTCTGAAGATCTCTAGACTTAGGTAGGAAATGTAGAGAAAGCAGTAGGCCAAGCATAAGAACCTCTGATCTTATATTCTGTATCTAATCACATTCCCATTGTGGAGTCCATGTGGTTGATAACTAATGTTTCAACTATGCTGCTGTCCTAAGCAAGACATGTCTATCTCCTTTATGCTTTTAAATTCACACAGGGACAAGCACACAGACCACAACCATAAGTGTTACTCATCCTACTTGCTTTCTTCAGAAAACCATTTTGTTTATCCTAACCACAAACAAGATCAGTTATGCTTCCTAAGACAGCACCATATTCTATTGCCAAATACTTTGCACATTTTCACTGAACCCGGAGTTATAAAGGAAAAAACACAGAACAACATGTTCCAATGAAGGCATGGTAAATGGAACAGATCTTTCAGACACAGGAGACAACCATTATGTTAATACTAATGGATACAGTTACTCTAAACAAAAAAATGAATTGCAACTACCCTTTTGAGTGAGGTTGTTGTTAAATGCATTTCTAGCTTTGTGTTTAACTAGCTGTAATCCTGGCTCAGACTGCCAGTATTTAACACACGTGAAGTGACCAAATGGTCAAAAAAAATGTTTTTCTCGGTGTTTCTTCACATGCCAGAAGAAAATCACCAAGAGCTGCAGAAGTTGAATAACAGTTTCTACAGCTTGTAACTAATTCAAGAAATTGAATGAAGTTCTGAGATTTCAAATGAAAACTTCTAATGAACCAGTATGACATTTTCTCAATTTATCTTTTGACACACTGCCAATACAGGTAATAGCTGAACAGCTTGACACCTGCCTCTAAAAAACACGCAATAAAGCACAAAGTCACTGGGTAGTACCTCAGTATTATTACAGTATCACACAACTGAAAAATGTACAACTGAGGATTTAATATTTACCTTTAATTCTGGCTACAGATTCTTTTTTTTAGTAAGTGTTAACAGTTGATCTTCGTCTCTATACTAGGCATGAATGATCTCTGCATTGTTCTGATCTTTGCTATCTGTCAGTATTTTATCTAGATGCAATAGCTAGACATAACCATTTTGAACTTGGCAATAGGCTGTCCCAGAATTACATGTACAGCAGAGTATGAAAGGCAAGAATTTGAATCTAAGGACTGTAAGTATTCTGGTTCTATAGTGGCAAGCTCCAACTAGGCAACAGTTCTACTGAATGTCAAAAACTTCAGCATTGCCTTTCACACTGGAAGTCAAGCTAGATCTGGGAGAAAACCTTGAATACTACCTCTCATTCTTCTAATATTTAGATAAACAGAACATACTACTGAAGTTTAATTTGACAAAAGACAGTCTATCCTATGTTTATTTTGGTGCTTTTATTTAATTAATCAACAAATTAACATGAAGACTGCAAAATCAGTTTCACTATGACATAAACAGAAGAGAAAAATTTCTTACCCAAATGTCCTGTTTTTCACCAATTGGAAAATTTGAATACAAGTCTATCATTTCTGGTGTCCTGTACATTGGTGTTGTATTCCTTGTGATCTGCAAAAGACAGAATTTCTTGAAACAGAAACTTGAATAAGCTCTAACAACATTCAACCAAGGAAACAGCTCTCCGTGTAGAATGCATACCATTCTCACTTTGAAAATTAATTTCAGAAATACTCGTCAAGGCAGAAGACAACAGTTGAATCCTGCAATAGTCACAACAGCTTTGATATAAGGCCAGATAAAGACGGTAGTACTGAAATACATAACACTGTGATATTCAATAGTCCTTCCAAACTGCAAGGCATGTAAAGTAAAATAACCGTTCTACATGAAGCAAAAAGGGATATGGACGCAAATATAGAAAATCAACAATAAACCAAGATGTGAATTAATGCTCCAGTGTGTATTTCTCACTTCCTCAACATACTTAATGACAGGGCAGATACATCCAAAGAATTTAGCTATGTTCACAAGGATCCCTGAAGAGAATTTTTCTACTATCTTTTTGCATAAATTATACACAAGAGTGGTACATCATCATCTTTTCTTCTAGAGAAACCAATGGATTGCTCTTCAAGTATGCTGGATTCCAAAACAGGGGAGTTTCCTGATATCAGAAGTTGCACACACGAATTTTAAGTGTCACTGTATTTCTCCTTACTTAAAAGCATGAGTTCAGTTGATGTATTATATTACATTTACCACCATTACTCTCAACTCTAAACTAAGAAAAAATGCACTCTGCAAAAAAACACCGTGTCCTTGATACTGTCGCTGTAGTCCTAGAAGCACTGCAATATTGCCTATTCAAATTCTGCCGAGCAGACTTGCCGCTTCTTTATCTCATTCAACTGACAAAAACAGATAAGAAGGTAGGAATCTCTTTGGCACAACCAATTCTTGACTTCCTGTTAAAAGTGCAATTAGAAGAAGTTCTAGTCATCGCTTTTGTTTTCACACCAGATTGCAGAATAGACACTGCTCAAGTTGAAGCAGGTACAAGATATGACTATAACTGCAGACAGGGTTTGAACTCTGGCAACAGAAATACAAAACCAAAGCTTTACGAACAATGCTACAAATGAAACAATCTTCAGTTGTCTTAGAAGTCCCATGAAACAGGACCAGATTAACAGTAACAGTTAAGTGAATTCACTGTTGATATTAAGATTAATCACATTAAAATAGTCTCACCTCTTCTTCAACCAGTGCTCTCTTTTGTGCAGACCAGTTGTAGTCAGGATAGTAAGCTATAGTCGTAGCGCTACCGAAGTCACAAAGTTTAATCGTCCCTTGGTTACTAATAAGCAAGTTTTCCACCTTCAAAAAGATGCAGAATAATAAATTAAAGACATCTTTTTCTGTACACTAACACTCATACTTTTAAACATCAACTCTGTTGTGCATATATACAAAAACTCACTTTAGCCCACATTGTTGTTTACAGGAGCTCAAATATTTCAGACAGTACTGTAGATGTATATGATAGCAATACAGCCAACTTTTAAAAGGAAGCACCAAACATGCTATGAGCAGGAAACATTCAAGAGAGCAGGAAATAAACCCCAGGGAAAAAAAATTCATTAGTGCCTAAGAGGAGGTCAATTTTTCAGAGGACCACTTGCAGATGCAGTATCTCAGAATCCAAATGTTTTCATGCATAAAACTGAACACTGTTAGCTTAACTGCATGGGAGTGGAGGTTAGGACTGCTGTAGACACAAAACAGGAAGGTACTAGTAGAGAAGCAGGCTGCTGGGGGCCACACAGAAAGAGGCAGCCGTGACCCTGTGCAGACACAGAAATCAGCTAGTTGAGGACTATGTGCTGCCTGAAGAGTTCACCGTCATCCCTCCCTTTTTCTACTTCACAAAATCATACCTTCCTGGATTGCTAAGTGAATTGCAGAAGAAACTTAAGGGGAGGGTAAAAGAAGGTATTGGGCAGAACTGTTGTGGTGTCATAACCACAAAAGGGCTGAAAAAGAAAATTTGTATCTCTGTGTGATGTCAGGAAAATGTGTAAAATTTAAGAGGCATATTAGCAACATTACAACACCACACTTCAGATAACTAGGTTTGTCTTCCCTTTCAAATCACAACATCTCTCGACTTCCTTCTGTAAAACTTGCACTTTTCAGAACATCCTTTTAGCCTCCCTTACACATGCTGCTTCCAACTTCTTCCACCACAAAATTAATTTTGACTACCCTGCAGGAAGACATAAGCTCTGTTAATGATGTGGTTAGAGTATCAATTTCAATGAGCAATCTGAATTCCCTTCCCTGTTGGATAACCTTTGCTTATCCCCATGTACAATAAGAAGGCTGGGCACTCAAATCAAATTAAATTTATACACTAAAAATAGTCATAGGAAAGACAAGAGATCAAGATTCTGTGCATATACGTTCTAGTTCTTGTGCGTTGGTAAAGGTTGCTAATAATGCAAAACATTCCAGCTGCTTATTCAGATTTTAACAAGCTCTACAACCTGTTACGCAGACTAGCTTGCACTGCATGGCAAATCCTGAAAAGATCATATTCAGACAATATCAGAGAAGCACTGATATTTTACAAATTGCCCTCTAATTAGCTTAGAATTTTTACAACTCTGTAACTAGCTGGGTTCTTACAGTGCTGTGCACACACATCGTAAGTGTGAACTTTGTCCAAAGGCGTGCAGGAACAAAGAACGCACTACCCTGGCAATCAAGAGAAGGAAACCACAGGAGGACAGAAACAGCCACCACTACAAAGGTGAACTTGTTTTTATGCTGCACTGTACAAGTTCATGAATCCTCACACTTTTAGTCAAAATAATTGAGAAAAACCTGTTAGGACTCCAGTCTACTACACCCCTACTCAAAAGCTACACTAGTATCTCACATCTCATTTGAAGTTGTCTCAAAACTTTGACCTACAGTTTTTTATGCTGTTGACCTTAGTTCAGCCTTATGGCCAGGGTAGCACACTTAAATGATCCCTACTTGGCTCTGGATTATAGTAAGGTCTCTACTTATTGCAGCACAACTATCATTTAATCTTGCTTTGCAACCCCTGTAACAGGAAACCAAAATGAAAACAGGTTCCTGCCTTCTTCCGTATTTTCTCTCTGCCAGGAACTTATGTTACTTGACAAGAAAAACAGACCTTGGATTACAGCATTAGCTCAACTTCTATAGAGCTGGCTATGTAAGAATTTGTAAACAGTTTTTTACCCCTTTTTCAGAGAAGAGATGCACCTTTTCTACAAGCTTTTCTAGGGGATGGTGTATAGAACTGTCAGTGAAGAATGAAATATTTTATTCTAGAAAGTAACACCAATAAAATTCTATCCTAGCTTGGTTAAAATGTTTTGCATGACGTAGAAGCCTGCTCAATGGTACTGAGAGACAAAAAAAAAAACAAGGAGTGCTCCATCATCAAAACTATTTTGATATTAAGGGGCTATACTAGTGCCTAACATCAAAACTTTCAACAATAGCGTTGCAAACACTTAGCACACATTTACTTTTAAAAAGTGGTTTCATTTTCCTTTCCCCAAAGTAATCAAGTACACGCTTACTTAAGGAGGAACAAATTTTCCTTTTTTTATATTCAGCTGATATCACATCAAGCAGGATAGGAACCTTCTTTCTCTTATTTTGTTTATGTTTATGAAGACCACCTCCTTCCACTAGGTTCAAATGTATTTGTAGTACAGCAGAATCTCACTGACGATTAGGGATCATTCATCTAAGATATAGCATACATGTAAAGATGAACTCCTGCCTTCAAAATGCAGAATTCAAACATAGATGAAGCCCTTTTAAATCTCCAAAGTTTCTAAGGGGACAACACTTTCTGCAGCATAACCCTATAGCATCTTGGTAAGGCTAACAGAATAAAAAAATTAAGAAACAATATCTATCATGAATTATGTCTACCAAATTTTAAAATTCAAGTTAAAAACAAGCCCTAAAATGCAACTCAAGTTGTTAGTTCTAAGCTAACAGCTTACTACAGTTTCTCAAAGGCTATGTAATCCTTCAAAGAGAATCCAACATTACCCTGTCTTCTTCAAAAAACTTTACCTCTTCTATTTAGAAAACCTGCTCACTGCAAAAGTGCAAATCAGAATAACTGGCTATTTTATCAAAAATAAACTATTTAAAGTCTAACTTAACCAGTAAACCATGATATATTACTTTTCAGTTGACCAACAGTCTTGAACTGATTCAGCCAGACAGGCTCCTTTGCTGTTTAAAAATTCAGCCTTTACTTAAATATTGTCACACACCTTTAAATCTCGATGGATAATAGGAGGCTTCTGCTTATGCATATGCTGCACTGCTCTGCAGGTCTGATAAAAGATCTTCAAAAGCGTGTCACAGGAGATAGGTCCTTTGGATTCTACTTTCTTTAAAAATTCCACCAGCTGTCCTGCAGGAAATCAGAGAAATTCACATAAGCACACACAGAATGCCACAAACTCTGAAAGCTTGGCATGAATATACAAACATTCTTCTCATCAAGGAAGATTCACAGTCTTGAGTTGTAATATTAGACAGATATTCTGAAAATAGCAAATCCACACTGAATGCAGGACTAAAGGAAATGGTGCTCTAAGGAACTATTCCTCCTCTTCCTTCCTCTGACTAGTCTCAAACACAAAGAACTTAATGATTACCCCATATTCAAGATGAGGTTGAACTGTAGTCTCAAAGAACATGGTATTTATCCTGCAAAAGATGAGGTTGCACTCTAGCTCCACTAAACTATGCTATCTTAAGAGGCTTTTAAAGCTCCTAAGCTGTGAAGCAACCTGTGCAAAACAGCTGTCAGAAGCAACGTGCACTGTTGGGAAAAGAAACAAAGTTTACCTTTACACAGTTCTGTAAGTAGAAGAAACTCTCCCTGTCCCGTGTCTGATTCTTCTTTTCCTATAGATGCAGCAGAGCAGAACTGGACAATGTTGGGATGACCTGAAAGTTTTTTCTGGAGATAATATGTTCAAGGAAGACAACTGTCAAGTTTATTGATACTATTGTATATAGCAGTTCACAGATACGTCATTTGAAACGTTAGCTTAAAACCACAGAAAGCATTACAGCTACAATTAAAATACTAAGCACAATAGGGAAATCCATGCCTCAGCTGAAAAAAAACAGGCTTCAAGGGAAGCCACTGAAGGCAACGCAGTAACAAGTAAAAATAAAACATTAAAAAAACACTTGCAATTAAGGCTCTGAGGAAACTGGACTTCATAACAGGTCTAGTTACTTCTTTTTGCCTTTTGACAACGACTGCAAGGCATTACCAGAAGAACCAGAGAGATTTTTTAATTATCAGCTGCTTCTCTAGCAGGCTGATCAAAAAAGGGCTACTGTACCAACACCTGTCTTTCCAAAGCAAGTACTGTTACATTAATTAAAACAAAGTTCAAAACAAATAAATGCTCCAAAAGACCAAGGAACTTACCCTCCTATGATTAGCAATAATTCCTGACACTAAAATCTTTGTCATGTTTCACTTCCAGATCAAAAATTCAAGGTTATAATTTTTGAACTATGTAAAGAGGAGTAAAATGCAAGTGATCTCAGTTCCTGCCAGTGGAAGTTACATTGCATTACGCCTGTCTGTGTTGTCCCTGATGGACATCACCTTGGTCATATACCGAGACACATGCCTATGAGACAACCACACACTATTTACAAGATGCATTCACCAAGTCTGAAAAGAAAAAAAGCGAAGACATGGTCAGCAGAACAAAGCTATTTAAAAAAAGGGCAAGTTGGGTCCACCAAATTAGAATTAATCCAAAGCAGTATTTTATATCTTATGCATCTCTTCACAACCAGAGCTGCAAGAATTAATTTCATTTCACAGTTACATGTCGGAAAGCTAGCAACAGTCAACCTGCGTTCACGTTGTACATACGCTTTAATGAGCCTGAGCTGTGAAAGAACATAGAATCATAGAACCATTATGGTTGGAAGAGACCTCAAAGATTATCAAGTCCAACCGTATACCTGATGCCACCATGCCCACTAAACCATGTCTTGAAGCACCACATCTAAACGTTTTTTGAACACCTCCAGGGATGGTGACTCCACCACCTCCCTGGGGAGCCCGTTCCAATGCCTAACAACTCTAACAGTGAAGAAGTTCTTTCTAATGTCCAGCCTGAACCTCCCCTGGGGCAACTTGAGATCATTTCCTCTTGTCCTATCCCTGGTTACTTGGGAGAAGAGACCAACCCCCACCTCGCTACAACCTCCTTTCAGATAGTTGTAGAGGGCGACAAGGTCTCCCCTCAGCCTCCTTTTCTCCAGACTAAACAACCCCAGCTCCCTCAGCCGCTCCTTGTAAGACTTTTTCTCCAGGCCCCTTACCAGCTTTGTCGCTCTTCTCTGGACACGCTCCAGCACCTCAATGTCCTTCTTGTAGTGAGGGGCCCAAAACTGAACACAGTATTCGAGGTGTGGTCTCACCAGCCCTAAGTACAAAGGGATGATCACTGCCCTAGTCCTGCTGGCCATGCTATTTCTGATACTAGCCAGGATGCTGTTGGCCTTCTTGGCTACCTGGGCACACTGCCGGCTCATGTTCAGCCGGTTGTCGACCAACACCCCCAGGTCTTTCTCTGTCGGGAAGCTTTCCAGCCACTCGTCCCGAAGTCTGTAGCGTTGCATGGGGTTATTGTGACCAAAGTGCAGGACCAACATCCAAAGAACATTCAGTTCTTTACTCCTGGCAAGATATAATCAGAGAAGCTAGAAAACGTATAGTGCTATGGTAGTTCACTCTTTGCAAGTGTACTTCTGGTGAATGGTGTTTACTGTAAGATTTTGCCAAACATTTCAGTAACCATAAAAAGGAATATTTGACTAGCTTAAATTAAGATCAGTGGATTTGGCTGGTAACTCAAGAGTTGAAAACAAAACAGCAGCATACCACAGCTACTCAGTGAGTCTTGAAACAAACTGAGGGTCTTAGAGCAAATGCTGGGGAGTGAATATTGAGTTTACTAAAGCCAAGGACTGAAAACACTCTGAGATTACCTTATACCCTTACCATCTAACATCACTGAAGACAAAAAGGACTGCAATGACACTGAGAAACATCTGCTTCTTCGTTCTGATGCATGTATTCTACTGAAATTCCTTCCTTAATATTTAATATTACTTTTTAAAGCCAGACACATCTGAAGTCGAAATTAAGAAACATTGAGAGTAAAAGCAAAGTTTTGAATAGTCAGACAGGCAATAAATCCAGTGCATGTGAGGGAATTATACTTAAGATCTAAGTATCACCTGAATAGTCAAAAGGTCTCTTGACCACGGTCACAAGACTGCAAGAAAGCCCAAATAGCCAGTTCTTGCTAGACAAAGTACATGACAAATTCTACACTACTTACAAAAGTCAGCTGCAGACCTTAAATTCCTGCAATTTTTGAAGAACTGAACTTGCTGGATCTTGGTGTTAGATTCATGACAAACCAGGAACCCAGACCTTCCTCAGAACGTCAGTCCTCTTAAGCAGCACATGGCATGGAAAGCACTGAATCTGTAGAGCAGTCCTCCATTTTTCAGAATGTCTTACAACAAGCAGTTGAATCAAAACATTAAAATACATTCCAGAAAAGGATACCATAAAACAAACTTCCTGAATGATGGCTTTGTTCTTTTCTTCTTCATTAGACAACAATCGCTGTTAGAAAACAGAGTAATTGGAAAGATACAGTTACTAAAACTTATACAAAAACAGGGCAGACAAGCTTTTTTTCCAGAACATGAAGGAAAAAATCTAAGTAACTGTCACAGGACAGCAAACAAAGTAAGCTTATTGTACATTTGGACATACTGCCATAAATGTAACAGAAAACAACCAGTTCTTCAGCTACCTGTACTGTTCAGATTTAGTGATAACTGAGCAGTTGCAACCTTTGACAGTTGTAAAGTAACTGCTCTGACAGTTTCCTGTCGTATAAAACACTACAGTCCCCTGGTTACAGCATTGTGCACCAACAAGGAAAGATTCACCTTCTGCATCAAATCTTTAGGAACAACCCTTGAACCCACTCCAACCACATCTTCTCCAAATCATGTAGCCCAACTTCTTCAATGGTATCCGAGTAATCAGCAGCAGAATCAAGCACTACTATTTCCAATATCCCTTAGATTTGGAGTCAACTTTTGATTAGAATCAATCTGGGCATTTGCTACAAAAGTACCAGTTTTATAAAACAGAGGAACTACAGTAACAGCTCACTTTTTATCTGTTATTTTTAAACGGGGCTACTTCTAGATGACATTTTGAACACACACTATCTCGGTTTGGTCACATGTTTTGTTACTGTAGGATGTGGTATGAAAAGAAAAAAAACAGGCCAAGTAATTACTGGTGGTGTAATGTCATCTTACCTCTCTCACCTCTCATACTACTACCCTTTTCACTTTCTCTCCAAGACAGATGTCTCCATACTGATACAGCCACAGAACACCCCTACTCCAAAAATGAAGCCATTTTGTGGAGAACACAAGTGACATGATTTTTTTTGCAGCAAAATATGACAAAGTAAATTACTTCACTTTACCATTCTTTCCATACTACAGTTTTTCAGCTGTTACATGATTATTATAAGTCTTCAGAAAACAAGAATCCAGAGGAGTGTCTCTGGAAATGCCAGGCTGAATGTTTGATCAATGAGTCCAAGTGTGGAGCATTATTTTTAATACTGATGCAACTTATTCTGGATGTACAAAGGGAGGCTAACTGGCAGGCTAAATCTGCTTCTGCGGAGTGAAAATACTCTTATACCCCACTTCACGTAACTACAAAAGATTCTTTTTACTCATGCAACAAAATGCTTGGGGCAAGGTCATGAACGTCTAGACCAAACGAAGACAAACAGCAGTAGTACCTAACAGACCAACTCCCATCTTTGGCATTTAAGTATAAAGCGCAGGGTCCTAACAGGAATCACCATTCTAAACACAGGTACAGTGTGCTACAGTGTACCACTTCATCATTCTGGATTTTTCCAAATGACTTGTTCAGTGGTATACATCAAGGATAAACTGTCATGCTACAGCATCAAACAAAAAGACAGATCTTATAAATCTTTAGTGAAGCAAATTCATTTTACCTTTAAAGCATAATCTTTGCCACTTCCAAGATCTTGAGCTTCATAGACAAAAGCAAAACCACCTAAAGAAGAAGGCACATTAAGTCAATTTTAATTTCAACATTCAGGCACATCATTCTTTTTTAGTCTAACACAGCTAATACATTCAGAAAAGTATCTGAATCCAAGTAAGAAGTACATGTATTTTTCAGTGGCTTGCAAAGAGTACAGGTAACTCACATACAAGACCTAAAATATTCTCTTCCTTTCTTTTACACGTCAGAAGCACACTGACTTTGTTACCTCCCTGTATTTTGTCAGTCTGCATATGCAGATTTCCTATGAAGCAATTTTTTTTTTTTAATGCAGGTCCTTATAAAACCAAGATTCAGTACAGTCAATATTATGTAAGGATTTTAATTAAACTACTCCTTGGTTTGACACTGTTAGGCTTCCTATGTAAACAGCAATAACCAAGGGAAATAAATATACATCTCCTCATACTTTTAGGAAAACTGCCATGCTTCAGGCTTCATATTAAAAGTAGAAAGCATTTTCAAGCACTGAAGCACACACTTCCAACACGGGTGATGCCGTTACTAAACTGAACTTTGTCATTCCATACAACATTATTTTCCTTCCAACTCCTTTTTTCAGAATACCTCTTTCAAACACTGCCAATTTGCTCAAGAACATTGTGCAAATTTCTACAAAGTAAAAAAGACTGAGAAAGAGTTACAGGTCTGTTAAGTTTCCTTAATTGGTAATTATGTTAATAATCTAACTGTATCAAAAGTACATATTTGTACAGTTTATTCCGTTTTAAAGATCCTAGTATCACTTCCTTTCTTCTTCATCCTCATGGTTACACTAACAGTGCCATTGCATATACGCTCTCTTGTCTATTCCAGAGTATCCGTAGTAGAGTAACAGCCAAAGTGACAAACATCAACGATTTGCCTTTCCATTCCTTTAATATAAATTCTATTTTCATTGAACTACATAGCGATGCTCTCTCTAGCAATAATGTGGACAATAAGCACAGAAAACATCAGTGAACTACAAAATTTTACTGGTCAAAAAGGCTAAGAGAATAAGATAACTAAAGAATGAACCACCACAAACAAGGAACAAGTTGACAAGGCACTTTTTGTTTTTAAAAGATACAGAATCCAAATCAGTACAGTCACCTTAGTACTCAATATCTCCTCTGAGGAAGAGGAATATTAAGATAAGGTTGAAGTGAATACACTATTTGCTTTGTGCAGTTCAATCAAATTCAAGGCTTTTCAAGAAGTACTCTCAAAAGTTTTACATGGCCATTGACCTTCACAGTGATCTCGAAGACTGCTGAACGGTACTGTCCACACATCTTGTTACTTCCCCAGCAGCATCCACAACATGAAATAAATAAAATGACAGGCTCCTGGACATTGCCTTTGCTTCTGGCATGTGAACGGGAATCATACACAAAACCAGCAAAACCAAGATCCCAGCTGCAGGGAGCACAAGCAAAAGCGAGTAACTGGTGCACCACAGAAGAGTTAAAGTATCAATGAGAACACCAAAGATGACAGACAGTGAGGACTGCAATTCAGTCCCACCGTACATTACCCATGCATGCATTGTGCTTACTCATTTACTTTGATCCATTCTGTAAAATCAGGTCTGGTACTTCCCGCAAAAAGAAGCTCCCTCCGCTTTTCTAAAGCCCCCAGTGAGTGTGTTCTATCAGCAACTACAATCAGCATTTTGTGCACTGATGGGACAGGGGCTGGAAACAGTATGAAGTCCACACTTAACACCATCTTGGAGTATTACCTGAAGACACTTTGCTCCTTTCTGAGTAAGAACATATGCAAGAAAAACATGGTTCTGGACACTGCTGATCAGTTATGACTACCGTTTACAGATTTCATAGAGCTGGTGAAACAAGTAAGATAATCTGTGCATCATCCTTCCACTTGAAGCTGGGTGCTGGGAAACCATGGTTTTTGACTGCTCTTCCCAATCAGTTCCCTCTTCACATCCAGAGGCATGCCCCAAGTTTCAGAGTCTACTGCCCCAGTAAGTTGCAAGCCCCTACACCAGTGTACACCACTCAATGCACCACAGAGCTACTGCCTCCAGGTCTTTGTCCTACATAGATCCCACAGACCTTCTATGCAGTCAAAGTACTGCTGGCCCTACAGAAGGCGGCCTTTACATTCATCTTGATAAATATTTCTTTGATTTTATTATTCTCATAACCATGCCAGCTGCATCCTGAAAATATATGCTTCACTTTACAAAATTAGGGGCTTCAGGTCAACACAAACTTCTAGTATACAAATTACCGCACAGTTAGTTTTCTGGAAGGCACCCAAGAACAAAATGGTGACAGAGGAACCCCAGATTAATGGAATGGTTGTTCCACAAGCTCAGCTGTGTACACTGCCAAGGGTTCTACCAGGGTGAGAATGGTGCAAGTCCACTCTGCATTTCAGTATACACCTCGCAAGTACCTCTACAAATGCAAACATCCACAGACCTACATACATGGACTCCATAATATAACTATACTTCATTCAAATGCATCAAATGGTCTCCTGGAAATTATACAGGTGAAAGTACCTATGCATCAGAATAAACTCATCAAATCAATTCCATCCATCATTTTCAAGCATATATCTGATTAACAACCAAGTGGATCCAAACTCTGAAGACCACCCAAGAAGTATTGCTACCTTTCCAACTATTTCAACTGATCTGATAAGCCTTCCCACAAGCTCTTCCTCCAATATATAAGAAATGCTTACAATATAGACCAAGTTGCACATTATCACTAAGCTTAATCCTGTTGACACTGAGTACGAAGGAGTAAAAGGAGGAATTGGTTTACCCAACTAAGAAAAGATTATAGTAAGTCTTAAAAAACTTATATTTCAAATTTTCAAGAAAGTGCTGATCATCATACAGTCCTCCCAAAACTCTAGACACATTCACAGTTGCCCTGAAAGTTTCCCTCTCAGTTTGCAAATAATCTTGAAAATCATGCCTAAAACACAACCACATCTACGAAAACTACATAAGTTCATTCCTTGATAGAAAAGCCTGGTTTTTCAACACTGAGAATCACAACATTACAACCACCTCACAAAGGCTTCTGAAATTTGAGTAATTTTTGATGAATTTAAATGAATCTCATTTCCAACAAAAAAAATTAATTTCAGTCTTAATTGCTAGCTAGGAATCTAAAGAAATTTTATATTCAGCTTCATAACTACTTCCAAGCACATACTGGTTCTAAGTTTCAACACTCATTGAAAACCATAAATGCTCATTTTGGCCCAGCAGTGCAAGTGAACACTTTGAGCAGTGAAAACCATTTAAAAATTATAAATTCTTGTTATCAATGGACATTAACACAAGCTCTGCTTAGGTTAAAGCACACCTATTTGACTTTAAGTGAAGTATAATTGACATTATCTGGAAATCCAGTGAAATCTGCACACAAAATGTCCAAATTAAGACTTCGCTGAGGTCAAATTTCAAGCTGACATGATTCAACTTGTGTATTAGTAAAATACTTGGTTTAATTACTACATTTTCATAGCATGGGTTAACAAAAGGAAAAGTGATGAAGAAAGTCTTCTTTAAAGCCATTTCAATGGTGGGATGGCTTACCAGAGCTCCCAGCAACAATTACGCAGTAGGATCTTACAATTTATATAGAGGTATTAGAACAGTAAGCCAAAGGGAGAAAATTCATTAAAACAGCGATAGCTTGAGAATACACAAATAGCTTAAAAGATGCACTTTTACTTCCGTGATTGTACCTTAAAACCAAGTATTGAAATACTAAACATAGAATTAAGTTCATTAAACTTTTCAGAACTCCAAACAAAAGCCAGTGGTATCATACCTGGTTAAATTCCTACTTCATTGAACTTGTTTTACAGACAATTTCACTGCTACGGCCTCTAACCTCATCCTTTACAGTTATGTCCCTGTCAAAACATCAGTTTTAAGTAAGCTTCTCATTCTGTCATTTCATTGTTTCACCTGAACACAATTCAGTTCCATACAACACTGCTTATTCCAGGTGGTGATCAGTTCACTACCACTGCAGTACTACAGCTGATACCAATTTTAAATCTATGGATTTTATGGGATACCAAAGGAAGTACAAGTTGTGCAGGTACTTTTGATTATTTTTTTTTTTAAACCATCTGTTACTGGTGAAAACAATTCTCTCACAAACAGCAAAATTAGTCCTACTGCTTCATTATTAAAAGCAGTTCTGTTTAGGGTTTGATGCTGTTACAGAAAATCATAACCAAGAAAACTCTCTAAACCAAATGATAGTTTAGAACGTCAACATTGGTTTACTGCAGTGACGGGTGTATGGGGGATTGCTCCTCCCAGTATGCACACTGAGTAAAATGAAGAGACATATTATATACAATAAAACATTTGCATGTTCATAACACACTACATATTCTTTGTTATTCATGCTTAGGATTGGTTATAAGTTTCTCGCTTCTAATGTAAATTAGTACGCATTCTCAGTAAGCACTAATGAAGCCTCTGTATTAACTACGCATGCTCCCCAAGCAGGGTTTTGCCCTCTTTCGGGGGGGCCATTTGAGCTGGAGGTCGCGATCTCCCACCACCACAATTACCTCTGTCCTGCTCTCAGCCAATTTACTGTTGATGTCTGTGGGTTGTAACGCTTTATCAGCTTGGCTCCCTTCATGTCTAGGACTCCCTCTCTTGGAGGCCTCTGTCCACATTCTTGCCTACTGACTTAGATAATGGTGTCCCTTCTTCTGTCATTCGTTCTTCTTCTTGAAGTTCCCAACCTTCAGATGCCAGACTAATGAATGTGCCTGCTTTTCTGTTAATTTAGCTGAATTATTTAACCCTTTGGTATCAATGCTGGCTTCCTTGTAGTGCTAGTCTATTAAAACAGTTTTAATATATCCTGAATAGGGACAACTTTATTGGCAAAACTTCTCCTTTGCCGTAAGTTTACTCCAGGCCTTCTGACCAATGTAGTTTGCAAAATAATTTAAAAAATTAAAAAAAGTTGTTTCA